TTATGTGGAATACTTGACCACAATATATTGCAAATCATGTTCCATCACTTTATTTCTTACCAGTATAATTTGGACTCCTTGTTGTAGTTGGAAAACTTGCTAAATATCCCTGGGAGGTGAGCAGTATGAAATATCATGATTTTTGTGTGTGTGTGTGTTGTCAGGCAATAAATTAATTTATTAAGAGAAACTATCAGTCATCAGTATTAGATGAGTTGCTACAGTATACAAGTTACAATGTTATGAGCATCGATCTTATTTATATTAAAAGTTATTCTCTTCACATAAGCCTGTAATACAATATAAAAATAATTGTCATTAGCTGGTAAATTACCTATAAAGCTGATTTCTATTCACTGCTTTATTAACTACAGTATATGGGCACTCTGAATTGCTAATATTTCCTTTAAATTATAATCTGTGATGACACTGTGGTGCCTGTGTTGGAAAAGCTATGATGATAATCATTAACATAGTATAATGCAATACTTAAGATTTATCAGGCCCTTATTAGGCCCTGAATTACAGCATAATATAATGAAATGCAAGTTTATTTCTTCCAATTCAAAATCTAATAAGAGGTTTGTGTCATAAATTACATAAACCTCAAAACAATGCATGGAAATGTGGCGGAAAGTTAATTTCTATCATTATGTTGTTTTTCTGCTTGTTCTTCATGTACTTGTATAATATTGTTTTTCTTTGTTTACCCTAGATAGTTGGTACTTGTAATTATTTTATTAGCATCCAATTGTATTTTCCCTTTCTTGACTAAGAAGCAGAAATATTTCAAACATCAAAGTTTATTTAAATAGGATACAACCCTTGGGAAATTAAAAGGGGATGCAGTTCACTGCCAGGATTCTTTGAGAAATACAGCAAAACTTGGTTGCTGTATTGCTTTATAGAAGTAAATTGATGGTGCATCTTGGCAGATGGAACAATGAGGGGTGGGAGCAATGCTTTTCAGCTACATCACATCTTTCAGCTTGCAGAGAGCAACATAACACACAAAGCAAATGTGTAATCTAAATACAAGTTATATTTTGCATTCTCATTTTTAGATGGAAAACATTATAGCACAAAAGCCAGGAAAAAAAATTAAAGTAAAACCTAGGAAGTTCGCAACAGAACAGTTCTGTTAATATTCAGTTCTTGTAACTGCCCTCAAAGTTAGGTCTATCTTTCCACAGACAGGCAGCCCCCTTGTTGGGTGTCTTAAGGAACACATAGAAACGGCTCTGCCTCATTCCCAGAGCTCAGATTTCCCCATTGCCTCTCGTTATATGTCATCATCCTCTCTAGCTCTTCTTTTTCAAAGATGAAACAGGGGCTTCAAACAGATATAGGTTTGAATCCCAGCTCTACCAATGACTAGCCTTGTGAATCTTGGGTAAGCCCCCATTTTACCAGCTGTAAAATGGGGAAAATGATAATACTCTCCTCATAGGGTAGCTGGGATGATAAATGTTATATGTGAACATGAAGCATAATAGACGGTGCGTAATAAGTGCTCAAATATTTTAACTATTGTTGCTACAAAGTATTAAGTTCTACTAGGAGGGAATATACATTAATAGTGAATGCCCAGTGAGTGGGAGTTAGTATTTCTGATCTGGAGTTTAAAATATCCATAAAGAAGAAAAGCAGCATACAAAGGAAGGCTAAAGTCACCAAGAGATAACCTTTTGTGCTCCAATTTTGCATAAGATGCACTCTCCTTGCAGTTTTATTTTTTAATGCTCTTCATTATCATAGAGTATACATAATCAGATAGTAGCTACCTTATAAAAACACTTGATCTCTAGTTTTTTTCTTCATCCTCCTCTTCTCCTACAACATACCAGAATGGTTGCATCAGAAAATTCACCTAATCCACTCATATTCTTTCCTGTTTTGATGGAGACAATCATGAACCAGCAAATAGAATACGAATCCATCAGGCAACAGCCCTTAAGAATTCTTTTTTCTTTCTGCTGAACCTACTGAGAATACCCTGGTACTGCTCCTGTACCTTGGAGACTTCATGCTGCCGGAGAAAACTGGACAACCACAACTGGGTTTTCACTGTTGTACACTGATCAGTTCTTGCTGATCCTTTTCATTCACTATCATGACTTTTTAAAATGCTTAACTAGTTTCTTCTCATTCTCAGTTAAACCATTCCTCTCTTGCTTTTAGAAGTCAACCATTGCTCCAGCTTAAAAGAAAGAATTGAGACTATTGTGCATCATCTTCTTTGATTTATCACTCCACTCTCACAAATCCACGTATCCCATCATCAATCCTCACCTCCTTTGCTCCAATTTTAGATGAAGTGTTTTTTGTTTTTTTTTTTTTTCTGTTTCAGGCCAACTCTTCCATTCATGCCTTTCCCTCAATTTCTGTTCCTCCTGGATCTTACTCCATGGGTCGCCCCTTTCTTTGCCTACATCTTCAGTGTTTGCACTCTCTTGTGCCATTTCCTCAGTCTGGAAATATGATTTGATCTCCCATTCAGAGGTCTATAGGTTCCCCACAGTAAGCCTGCTCAATCTCATTCCTCTTGTTACCATCCAAGCTTCTCAGAAGGGTTGGCTACATCCATATTCTCTGCTCGTTCATCTCATAGTCTCTTCTCAACCCACTGCAATCTCGATTCTGATAACCCTGCTTTACAGAAATTACTTTCACTAAGATTACCTGTGTCATGCCAATTCCATTTGGTTCATGATCTTACTGTACATTTCTGCTGCATTTGGCCATGTTGATTATTCTCATTTTGAGCACTGTACTCCCATGGTTTACCTGGCCTCAGACTTCTGGTTTCTTCATCTTTCTGACCTCTCCTTCTTTTCTTTGGGGCCTTTTTCCTACTCTTTGGAGTCCTTGGCTACACACACTCTTTGAGTTCTATTTTCTAGGGTGATGGTTTCAATTCACATTAGCCATGATGTCTCCTGTATTAGTCCACCCAGGTTGCCATAACAAATGCCACAGACAGGGTGTCATAAACAATGTACATTTATTTCCTCACAATTCTGAAGGCCAGAAGTCCAAGATCAAGGCATCAGCAGGATCGATTTCATTCTGAGGCCTTGTTCCTTGGCTTGAAGACAGCTGCCTTCTCACCATGTCTTCACATGATTACCCTTCAGTCTGTATCCTAATCTCTTCTTATAAGGACACCAGTAATATTGGATTAGGGCCCACCCAAATAACCTAATTTTACCTTAATTACCTCTTTAAAGACCCTGTCTCCAAATACAGTCACATTCTGAGGTCCTGGGGGTTAGCACTTCAACATATGAATTTGGTGGGGGCGGGGAGACACAGTTCAGCCCATAACATCTCCTAAATCTGTATTTCCAGTTCAGATTTCTCTTTTACGATGAGGACTGTCTAACTGTCTGTTAGACATTTCCCGTAGGATTTCCCACATGAGATTGTTTGAAATTGAGCCAGGCATTTCCTCATTAAACCTGTACTTCCTCTTGCATTTCCCATTTCCATTGGCTCATCTAGTCAGCCAAGGAGTTTTTCTTTACTTCTCCCTTTCCCATATCCCACACATCCAATCAACTCCCAAACGCTGCTCTTCGTACCTGCAAAATACTTTTCAACTCTGTTCTTTTCTCTCCATCCCAACTGAGGCTGCCCTAGTTCAAGCTGTCTCCTTGTCTTATTTGATTATTGTAGAACTCTTTGATTTGTCTATTTCCATTCTAGTCCTGAGTCCATGCCCCGTATAACCAAAAGAGCATGAGATCTAAAACCCAAGTTTGACCACATTATTCCCTCACTTGAATCTCTCTGATGGTTCCTCATTATCTACAGAATGTGATCCATCTTTTTAATATGGCAAATGAGGCTTTTACAGTCTAGATCCTCCTTATAGTGGCAGCCTCATATTTTACTATTGTTGGCTTCCTACTTTTCACTTCAGTAACATGAATCTGCTTTTGGTTGTCTATATACTCCATTCCTCTCTATTCCCATGTCCTCACCTTTGCAAACACTTTCCTCTTTGTCAGGAATGCATTCTCCAAACTGTCTCTTTACTTTTCTCTCACTCAACTTTGTCTGGTTAACTCCTACTCATTCAGTAAATCTCAAATCAAAAGTAATTTTCTCCAGAACGCCTTTTTGGAGTGAGGTAGGTGCCCCTTCCTTCTTTCCCATAATTCCTTATTTATACTTATTATAATGCTAATAATTGATCTACTTCCCTTACTAGGCTGTGTGTCTCTTGAGGGCACAGACAGAATTTATTAATCTTAGTCTACCCAGCATCACTTGCACCTACACTATGCCTGGCACATAACAGGCACCAGAAAAGCATCATTTTTTTCTTAATGTTGTGTTGTAAGCAGACTCTGCTGTGAGGCTCAGCGGAAGAGATGAGTCATGAATTCATGTCTTGTGCTAATTTTTCAGTAAGTATATCAGTATGTTCTTTATTTCATACACAAGAGAGTATGTTTAAATTCTAAGACTAAGCAAGTATACCAAATTCTCTACAGGGAAAAAACAAAGAGTCACTAATCTGAATTAGTGTTTCTGCCTCTGACTTAGATTAGTGATTCACAGCATGATACATTCAGGCTCATTTCCATGTTAGCTACAAACCAGTTCATAGACTCTCAAAAGCAAAATACGTGTTTTTCTGGGAAAAGAATTAATCTTCATTTTCTGAAACATCTTGCAGAAATTAATTTGGCAGGTTATTTTACTGAAGTTGTTTATTTTCCTTGATGCTGGCTTTGTGGTTTTGTGATAAGAAAAATAATTGATGACCACCTTGAATTCCTCAATATTTGTGATTAGCAGGGCAAAGGCTGCTTGTGTTAGCATTGGAGAAAATACTGGGGGAACTATATGCACTATGAGTTAGCACTAGAACGTAAGCTCCACCGTTAAGGAATTTTGTCTATATCGTGTCCTGCTATATCCTAGAACAATGTCAGGCACAAAGTAGGTGCTCAATAAATACTTGTTGATTGAATAAAGAAAGTACATACCTTGCACCTGAAGAACCTGAGAGATGTCAAATCCTTGGCTGATTCTGACTATAACCACGCCAATCTCAAAATCAAATGCATCACTGAAAGAGGAAGCAAAGCAGTTAGTGTTTTAAATGGCTATTTTAATCCTCAAGCTTAGGACTAGTATTATACTTGCTTCCAGGATTTTGATATAATGAAACTATTAAAATCCACTTTAGAATATAGCCAAGAGCTGATGCATGTGTTTGTTTGTTTGTTCTTCCCTTATGCCTTTTTAAAGTATATTTTGGGTAGAGGTAACTAAATTATTCACTCTAGCCAATTTATTCAAATAATACTATACATCAGAATTTTGATTAAGAGCTTGTCGCATCTTTTAAAAATAATCGAATCTTTTATACAGCGAGCAAAACAATCACTGGCATATTTAGAACACAGAGTTTACAGACTGCAAAGACTCTTTGAAATGATTAGCCACCACCCCCAACCTGGCTGCCTCCTAGAAGGACTCCTATAACATTTCTGATATCAAGTACATGGTTAGAAATGTCTCCAGTTCCTCTATTTTCAGAATTGACTCTAAACTGGTCACTTGGAGCAATGCTTTTTCATGGCAACCCTACGTACTCGCTCCTGTGTTTTCTCTGTATGCAACCCAAAGGAATTTGATTACCTAGAAGAGAAATAAAGTCTGTCTTTCTTTTATCTCTGTTTGAAGAGATTAAAGTTTAAGACATAAATGTTTTCTCTGGTGCTAAACATGGAAGCAAGTCAATTAATACTTTGAGTCATTTAAATTTTTTTTTCATTGGGAGGTCCTTTGTTTATACTTCTATGGATCTAAAACTTAACGACTTCTTGCCATTAGGTCATCCTACCCCAAAAACACTTGTCCCACCATATGCAAACAGTTTCCAACGGCCAAAGTCAACCTGCATTTTCATTTGGTATACATAAGTTTGGAGCAATATGAATATCCACTCAAAATCCAAACCATAAATAATCTTTTCTTAACAGAATAGGTCCATTCTGGCACAAGTTGTTACAAAGTAAATTCCTCGTAAACAAATCTTGTTTCTGATTGTCCTCAATTATAAAAAGTAGACAATGTGCTCCACAAAAAAAATTTGGATTCTGTGTTAGGTAGAATAATGCACCCTCAAAGTATCCTAATTCCTGGAACCTGTGAATGCATTTCCTTACATGGCAAAAGGGACTTGGCAGATGTGATTAGATTAAGGACTTTGGGATGGGGGAGATTATCCTAGATCACCTGGATGGGACAAGAGTAATCACAAGGGTACTTAAAAGTGAAATTAGGAGGCATAAGAGGAGGTCATAGTAATGTGATGTGAGAGGAACTTGACCAGCCATTGCTGGCTTTGAAGATTGAGGAAGGCATTCCTGAGCCACACCCACATGAGGGAAGCTTCTGGAAGCTGGAAAAGGCACGGTCAGAAATTTATCCTAGAGCCTCTGGAAGGGAATGCAGCCTGGCCCACACATGCCAGACTTCTATTCTACAGAACTGTAAGATAATCAAGTATTGTGTGTGGTCGTTTTTTGTTTTTTGTTTTTGACAGAGACTGGCTCTATCACCCAGGCTGGAGTGCAGTGGTGTGATATTGGCTCACTGCAACCTCCGTCTCTCAGGTTCGAACGATTCTGCCTCAACCTGCTAAGTAGCTGGAATTAGAGGTGCACACCACCATGCCTGGCTAATTTTTGTATTTTTAGTAGAGGTTGGGTTTCATCATGTTGACCAGGTTTGTCTCAAACTCGTGACCTCAAATGATCTGCCCACCTCGGCCTCCCAAAGTGCTGGAATTATAGGCATAAGCCACTGTGCCCAGCCTAAAGTATTGTTTTAAGCCACTAAATTTGAGGTACTTTGTTATGGCAGCCATTGAAAACTAATACATACAAATTCTGATTAAAATTAAACCATACTTGGCTGGGTAAGATGGCTAACATCTGTAATCTAAACACTCTGGGAGGCCAAGGTGGTGGATCACCTGAGGACAGGAGTTCAAGACTAACCTGGCCAACATAGTGAAACCCCAACTCTACCAAAAAATATAAAAATTAGCTGGGCATGGTGGTGTGCACCTGTAGTCCTGGTTACTCGGTAGGCTGAGACAAGAGAGTTGCTTGAACCCAGGAGCTGGAGGTTGCAGTGAGCACAACTGCGCCACTGCACTCCAGCCTGGGCAACAGAGCGAGACTCTGTCTTAAAAACAAACAAACAAACAAAACACTAAACCATACTTAAGAATATTACAGACATTTAAAATATTTTATTCAAAGAAAAATGGTAGCCGGGCGCAGTGGCTCACGCCTGTAATCCCAGCACTTTGGGAGGCCGAGGTGGGCGGATCATGAGGTCAGGAGATCGAGACCATCCTGGCTAACATGATGAAACCCCGTCTCTACTAAAAATGCAAAAATTAGCCGGGCATGGTGGCGGGCGCCTGTAGTCCCAGCCACTTGGGAGGCTGAGGCAGGAGAATGGCATGAACTCGGGAGGCGGAGCTTGCAGTGAGCCGAGATCGCGCCACTGCACTCCAGCCTGGGCAACAGAGGGAGATTCTTGTCTCAAAAAAAAAAAAAGAAAGAAAGAAAAAGAAAAATGGTAAAATACTATAGTTTTATAATAATACCCCTGTGTTAACAATAATACTGTACTTTAAGTCATAAAGCCACAAAAATTGGACAGGGAAATGTAATATGGACACACGATTGTCACTATTAGCCTCATTGCTGTGCTAGTAAAGTCATTTAACTTTACCAATCCAGTTAGGTTTTATACTAGTACAAATATGGGTCACCCTAATACTGAACTTTATTACCAAGGAGATCTATTATTAATTTGCTATAAAAGCCAGAGACCTCCTTGGTTCAGTATTACTGGGTTTGATTATTTTGCTCCCTTTGGGTTTCTAGAATGTTTGGGATGGTAGGGAGGTTGGAAGACAGTCTGAAGTAATTCTGTATCAAATAATGGACTATTTCGTTGAAGATTTACACATTACTTCCTATTTGCTCTCCCCCCGCCCGCCCCACCCCATCCCTTTTGTTCCCCGAGGTAAAGATGAAATTTTACTGAAGAATCTGGATAACAGAGGACAGATCTGGTCAATTTCCAAGAATGTCTGATCAGCAACTGACTGATTCTAAACATATCAAAATACTGTTTGCTGAGCCTGGTAAAATTCTTATCCCGATCACCTGGTTTAGCCTTAACTTACTGAACTTATAACACCAGCAGGAGCCAGATGACAGCACGTGGCATCCAGGCTTCATATGTTCAGGAAACACAATGCACTTAATAGATAGGTTCCGCACATTAGAAAGACTGTTGAGTGAATTTCTGTTTGTTCAGTAATTCCTGTACTTTTAGAAGATGAAAGTTATTTTCTTATGCTTCCTTTCAATAGAACTAAGAATGCTTTTGTTAATATGTTGCATAAATCTGCTCAATATAATGATAAATGTTATGATTATAATAACAAGGGGTAGAAGAAATAGCCTACTTTAAGAAGTGCTAAGCGTATACTTGTTTTCAGTGGATAGGATGAACTTTGAAGTGCAGCTGTATCTCCCAGGGGATGTCATGTACCCTGTGGTCTGAAATCAAAGTGCAGCCAGATCCCAGACACAGGAAACCTTCCATTTCCAGAGATGTTGACACAAAAGATGGCTTTTGGGCATAGCTAACATTACCCCTCTGGAGTCTGATAGAGTATTTTCAAGCCTAGAAGAAATGCTCAACTTTCTTTTCTTTTCTTTTTTTTTTTTTTTTTGAGATGGAGTTTCACTCTTGTTGCCCAGGCTGGAGTGCAGTGGCGTAATCTCAGCTCACTGCAACCTCCATCTCCCAGGTTCAAGTAATTCTGCTGCCTCAGCCTCCCGAGTAGGCACCCACCACCATGCCCAGCTAATTTTTGTATTATTTTTGTATTTTTAGTAGAGACGGGGTTTCACCATGTTAGCCAGGCTGGTCTGGAACTCCTGACCTCAGGTGATCCATCCGTCTCGGCCTACCAAAATGCTGGGATTATGGGCGTGAGCCACCGTGCCTGGTCTGGTCGAAAGGCTCAACTTTCTACAGTGTTTCTCTCTGTTTGTGTAGAATTTGTTTTCTCTTATTCAAAGGAAAAAAACTAAGCCAAGTAATACTTGGAGTATATATGTATACTCCAAATGTTACATATTATATACTCCAAGTATTATATGTATGTATGTATACTCCAAGTATTATATATTATATAGTCCAAAACTGTGAGTATATATATACACACATATATATATATTTATACATACATATACACACAATTTTGGAGTATATAATATATAATGTAATACTTGGAGTATATAATATATATAAAATACTTTGAAGTATGTAATATATATTATATATAGTATAAAATATATAATACTTGTTTTGGAGTATATAATATATAGAGAAAGCATAGCGTTATGGTCATGAGTTTCAGCTTTGCATTTGGATAGTCCTGGGTTGGAATTCCAGCTCTGTCACTAAATGCTGAGATTTTTCAGTATGCTACTTAATTTTTAATGTCTTTGCCTCCACTTGTAGAATCGGAAAAAAATAATAGTACTTTCTTCGAAATCTTTCTATGAGAATTAAATGAGATAATTCATGTTAAAGACATTAGCCTGCTGCCTGCTAGTCCTTTAAGATCTATCATTATCACCTGTATCCTAAGCCTCCTGAAATATTAAGCTATTAGAGGTTATGTACCACCAGAAACTCACATTCTGTGCACAAGCCATTGATGCTCCACCTGGTAACAGAAGCACCTGGCATATGGGAGCCTCTTAGCAGAGGGAGATATAGGGCTCTGGGATAGTGAACGAATTATCAGAGACTCAGAAGAAGACAATGACTGAATTGAAGACACCAGCCAACCCAAGATTCCAGGTGTTTTGAAAGAAAAATTTCTCTTTGCTTAGCTGTGCTTTGCTTTTAATCTTGTAAATAGATCTTAAGGTTGTAACTCTAAACATTTACTTTTTTCTCTGACACTGGTGTTTCTCTCACCCTGCCTCCTCTGACACTCTGATTCCCTCAAACTCTATTATTGGTGGTGTTTTTTTCACCTTGGGAAAGAAGTCAGAGTACCAGGGGAATGTGCTCTTCTCAGGCAATTTAATCTGACACAACAGTGTTATGTGCAGTACAAGTTATGTACTGCCCTGGTTAGTGCTTTATAAACAAGAACACGTCTTGAAAGCCATCACTTACTGTATGATTCCCACGTAGTTCTCAGTCTCTGTCAAGGGAGCTTTCCTCCAGTTTTTCTTATATCCAATCACCAGAGTGTTTGGTTTCATTCTTCCTAAGCCTGAGGCCTAAACAGAGGACATAAAAACATGGGCAATCCTTACCGTACTGGGAAACTACCAGCACAAATGAAAAATAATGTCTAAAGGAGCACTGAAGTAATGTTCTGAAGATTCTGAAGATTAGATTACATTTTAGTCATGTCCTTCATGCCCGTACCCAAGCATAAAATAGAAAGATTAATTCTAAATCATCTCAGCTATAAATGGATTTTAGATGACAGAAATGTAGCTTTTCTAAATTAGCAGTCATTTGCATTTCTTCTGACACACTCATTAAAATGGTTCAATAATTTAAAATCAAGTGAGGGTCAGCTTAACTGTTGGTATGCATGTTGTAACTTAGTGGTTCAAAGCTCATTTCCACCTGTTATATCCATAATGTCATCAGCAATAAAATCCATGTTTGGAAAATTCTTATGTACAAGGATCACTGAAATCTCTACTTATGTTATTTATTGAAGAGTGACTGAATTATGTTTCCAAAACCTAATTCTTTTATATGACAGTATCATTAATAGCCGTCTTCCATATCAGAAGTGTTGTTTCCCTTCATTAGACGACAGCATACAGCTTCTAGTTAATCAAATTTAATTTGACAATATTACTAAGCATCTCTGAATTGCACAGTGCTATGTCAGTTTTGGTGGGAGAGTGGTGAAGCACATTCTTTGGCCTCATGGCACTAAACATGGTGAAGAAGACAATATTTACACAAATACTTCTAATATACATGCAAATGTAATAGAAACTCATATAGAAGAACAAAGGAAGGAAACTTGAATTACAGGTGAGGATTCATGGCCAGCTTCATAGGAGAGGTGGTATTTCGACTGAGTCTTGGGAGTTGGTGAGACACTGACAGGTAACGATGGGAGAGCAGCCAGGTGCGATGGCTCATGCCTATAATCCCAGCACTTTGGGAGGCTGAGGTGGGTGGATCACTTGAGCTCAGGAGTTTGAGACTTGCCTGGCTAACATGGTGAAAACCCATCTCAACTAAAAATACAAAAAATTAGCTAGGCATGGTGGTGTGCGCCTGTAATCCCAGCTGCTCTTGAGGCTGAAGCAGGAGAATCGTTTGAACCCGGGAGGCGAGGGTTCCAGTGAGCCAAGATCGTGCTACTGCACTCCAGCCTGGGCGACAGAGTGAAACTGCATCTCAAATAAAAAAAAATAAGATGGGAGAGCAGTGGGAGTCATGGAAGGTAGTTCTGTGTCATGGGAAGAGTGAAAGAAATGCCAGAGCTGGACATTTTAGAGGAAACAGTAGCAGGTGGAAGGAGATAGGCAATGAAGGAGGGCTCCTGAAATAAACTTTGCCTCCAAAACATTTGGTGCACTGTTCCTAGCCCAGCAGCTTCTTGGAGTCCTCATTTGGCCCTTGGCAAATGTGTGGCAGTAAGAAGTTATGGATGTAGTCTTTTCCACAGCTACACTCTGAGGATTTGATAATTTGTACCATAACTTCTTAGATGCAAAGATGGTTTTATTTGAGATGATATAACTGCAGTGCTTCCTTTAATGTCACTTTGTCTTGTCCTTTTGCCATGGCTCCCCTGTACTTCACTTTTTATGGGAAGAAATGCATGTGAATGTATGCATGTTCAAATTTTCTACCATTTCTTCTGGATTAATCTAAGAGTTCTTTTTCATACTTGTGTCTTTTCTTTCCCTGCTCTTATTTTATGTCCATATTCCCATTCCTAGTTGAAAATTTTGTTTTACCAATCTTCTATGATAATTTTATAATAAATGACTAATAGTGCCAATATATTTAACCAAAGAGCTATTGAAAACTAACTTGGTACTGAAAGAAACATCAGCATCTTGCAGTAACACCTATTTCCATGGTTTAGCAAATTAATAACAGATGAAAAGGGGCTCATTGTGGGTAATAGGTTTTGCAGAAATGGTTTCTCTGCATGTGCAGCTACCTCGCAAGTGTTATTAAGGGAAATTAGACACAGGATTGCATCAAATACTCTTAAGCTCCAAAACATTACCAATTAAGCTTAACCAATATTTTTTCTTTCCTGCCTGCATGCGCATCTGAGTTACCTGGATGCAGTTCTGACTTCTGACACTCTGAGATACGGTAACTCTGAAAGCCAAATGCACCATTTCATATATACATAATTAGGGTTTTTCAACCATACTAAACCCAAAATGCTCAGAAAGCCAAGCTCTACAATTTCTGAGGGTCTCTTGGATTGTTTGTTTTAAGGATTCTCCGTCACTCTAAATTGTGAAGATCAGAACTAGGGAAAGATTTTATGTACTTACTATAGCAGAGATAAAGGAAGGAAAAAGGAAAAAAATAAGGGAGAAAAGATGAGAGAACTGTGGGATTTAAGGTTGAGCTGTAGAGATTATTACATTTTATTTAGCGTTCTGGAAATAATTCAGGAGGATAGGGAGATTTTATGCCCAGATCACCATGCATTAATTTAGTTGGTCTAGCAGCTGCCCTAACACCATTTGCAAAAGAAAAAAGGAAAAGAATGCCTGACTTGAGCATTGCTATATGCAGTATGAGATATAAAAATAGTTTGAAGTTTCAATAGGATCCTGAATGTCGTCAACCACCAGAACAAATTTGCATTTCAATAAGTACGGGGGCAGAATGTATGCTGGTGGCCAAAGGCAACCTCATTTTCCATTTCCAGTGTATCATTCATAGTTCATTGTAATAGAACTTCTCTGCTTTTGTTCTAGCTTTGCCTATACCCAGGAATTCAAAATAATTCCTTAACCATCTGCACTGATCTCTGATGCTGGGCTGCCTAACTACAGCCGTTCACTCTGGGAGCCTCATTAACATGGAGCACTCGTTGTTCTTTGGCTCTGTGCTCATTCCCTGAATGCAGCCTTACCTGAAGGAGACTTCGGACACCATCCCTGAAACAATCTGCCGCCACTGCAGCGTAAAAAGCCTTGATTTTGTTCTTTATAAGCCAGGCCTGTTTTTTCGCCATGCCACCGTTCATCTCCTTAACACACAGTTTGCGCGGTCCCTGTGCGACACAATGAAATATTGGTTAGAACCCTGCTATTATACATCACATTGCTGTTGTTTTCTAAAGGACAAAAATAGCCAGCAATGCCCCATGGAGTTAGGAAGTGGGAAAGAGGGACAAACACCTCACTGAGCAGCGTTTCGCAGATTCAGCCTTTTGGAGAGGACCTGTGCTATTCACATCATTCATTTTCTACCCAAAACATCCAGACTGATTAACATCTGCTTAATGAACTGCCTGACACTGAATGAAAGGAAGAGCTGAAGGCGTCATGACACATGAGGAAAATACTGAAAATGTGATTGAAGAGGCTCAGGATAAATACACAATCAACCTTTGACCCGTTAGTGAGAGCCACTTTCAGGAACACCAAAGAAATCTCAGCTGGAGCCTAATGTCAAGAAATGGACAGAGCTCCATGGGAGGTAGAACATGGTGAGCTGCAAATCCTGCCATGAACTGCACATCTTGACAATTCTATTTGGCTGATGCATTGCTTTTTCGTGTGACAAAAATACTCTTATACCACTTTTCCCTGTGTAATGTTGCCACACTTCCATTCAAATACATTAATGTTTCCTTGTCATTCAGTGAATTTGGGGGGAACGAAAGTTTACATACCTATGACCTAAGGAGAGTGGAAGAGATTAAGAGGGAAGAAGACAGGTGTTAGGATGGTTGATAGGACATTTTATAATTTCAAGATTTAGTTTTGGAAACCCATTTTTAATGAAAAATTCTGTTTTTATTTCTTTTTCCTTAAATATTCAAGCTGGTTTTTTTCTTCTCATGCTGTAATTCAATCCAAAAGGTATTTCTGATTATCTGCCATATGTCTGACAGGGTACAAATCCATTCTCCCAGAAATTCTTTTAATTTATAGAGAGATTTGTATTTTGTTGAGATGGCTTGGATTTTACATGAATCACTTGGGATCTTGATAAATGCAGCCTTATAGGTATTGAAGCAGGGCTCAGGATTTTGTATTTCTAACAAACTCCTAGAGGCAACAGATGCTGCTGCTCCTTAGACCACACTTGGAGTCATGGTCTTAAAGGGTCTTAGATTGGAGAGAAAGGACATTGGGATGCAAGAAAAAAAAAAAAAAAAAAAAAAAAAGCCCAGGCTTTGCGGTCAGACAAAACTGGTCTCAGATCTAAGCCTGAGGAGGTAATTTCTTATCTCTGAGCTTTTATATCTTATTCTGAAACTGAGGATAAACTCTAGTTCCTGCAAGATTGCTTTAAGTAGTAATAATATAGTACCTAGTGCAATGTCATCAAAGCCCCAGACCTGATTTTACCACTGTGCTTGCAGGAACACTGAACTGTGAGTCAGAATGTTGGGTTGAGATCTGGCACTGACTGGCTGACACCCTGGGTCTGCCATTTGTCCTCTCTTGATGTATGTTCTACATTGATAAAACTCAGGCAATTGCCTAGGTCATCACTGCCCAATATGATAGCCTGTATGTCCATGCTGCTATTAAGCATTTGAAATGTGGCTGGTTCATATTGAGATATGCTGGAAGCACAAATTACACACTGGATTTCAAAGTCTTAGTACAAAAAAGAATGTAAAATATCTCATTAATGTTTCTGTAATGATTCCATATTGAAATTATAATATTTTGCTCACATTGGGTTAAATACAATATTATTAAGAATAACTTTACCTATTTCTTTTTTCCTTTTTAATTGGCTACTAGAAAATTTTAAATTACATATATGGCACATAATATGTTTCTATTACACAGCATTCAATCTCTAGGGTCCCTTCCATTTTAATATTCTATTTAAATTGGATCAGACTCTTTATATTCTTATTTTTTCCAGCATATTTCCTGGAACCTGCCAACTTTTCAAAACAGTTTGACTGACTTCCTATTAAAGGAAAATTTAAAAACAAGAAACTTCCATGAAGATAGAAAAGGTAGAGAGATTGGGAGGGTAGTTACTAAATTAGATGACCTAGTCTAAGGAAAGATAAGCCATTATGGATCAATTTAGCTCAGGTTTCCAGACTGTCAATGCCTTTTGAATCACTAGTCCTTCTTTGAGCATTCTAAACTTCTTCAACTGCAAGAAAAAGAAAGAATACTTTATTCAAGGAAGTTCAGTGGTAACAACAGCCATTAGATAGAAGAATAACAGGAAAGACTTTGAACCATCAGTGTAGTGAGTTGTACCACAGTGACTGTGAACCCCTGGGGAGAATGGCATTTATTTAAATAAATACAGTCTAACGTATGTCTGTTAGTATTATAAAAATCCAGATTAAACGTTAATTGTGACAGAGAGATTTACTTTAATGCCTAAACTTGCCATATTGAGAAGTCATAAAAATGTTTCATGCAGAATCTCTCTTTGCTAAAAACGATTATAACATCATTGTAGCACACTTATTAATGCAAAGCAAGGAAGGCTGCAATACAAATGTAGTAAGAATAAAGCAAACTAACAAAGAGAAAAGACATACTGGAATACAATTATTCAACATTCAAATATGTCATAGTTACAAAAATGAATTTTATTACCCCATTATAACATTATAGAGATTAGCTTCAGTTGGGATCCAAAATATGAGTACATAAATTAATTCAGGATTCAAACAAAGAAGCTTTAAAAATCTTGTATATATTATAACTTTGATATTAATTGAGAAAGGGGTAAAGCATTTCTAATTATGTAGTGTGGAGAAGTTGATGTGATATTACTTTAGATAAGTGACTATCATGAAAAAGAGTTTGTAAAGGGGTTCCAACCCCATTCGGATCAAACAGAGGAATTTGCCAAGTGCAATATTCCTTCCAAGTTTTTTTTTTTTTTTTTTTTTTAACACTGAGTCTTACTAGTCTGTCTTTGTTTTCATGGCTGCTTTGGTTGGAATTGTGGGAAAGAAAATTTTTCCCTTTCTGATTTGGTTCATGTTATTTTACTGTACGTGCTAGTGCCAATTCATAGGTCATTTCGTTCTTTCAATATTTGGTCACGTCACTATTTTATTAACATCATAACAGAGGCTCACTGATAAAAAAAGAATAAGATGCATCTAGAAAGAATATATTTTTTCCTTGGTGGATGTGAAATTTGAAATTAAGAGGAGGTTGAAGATAGAAGAAAAAATGAGAATTTTCGTTTTCCCTGGGTTATATGGGCTTGAACTGCCTTCCTTATGCCAGAGTTAAGAGGTGGGTGTCTTCTGTGAGATTTATTGAGAACTCCTCAAACAGAGAATTCAAAGAGAGCTTTAGGTTTTCTTAAGATATTTTATAATTTTTTAGAAAAAAAAGAGTAAAAGAAACAGGGTAAAAGTCTAAGAGAGATTCTACATGAGAAAGCCGGTCAAAGGCCATCCCTTTCCTCCTTTACAGGAGAGGACAATCGAGTTTAAAGTAACATTAATGAGTAAGAAAAACATGAATGAAAATAGATTTACATTTCGGTATCCATGTGTGAAGTGATGAGAAGAATACCCATAAAATTCAGATAACATTGCCTCTGGGGACAGAGAGAGCCAGGGGTCTGCAGCGGTATTAAAAGGGGCTTTAACTTGATCTGTAATGGCTTATATCATTTAAAAAGCGAGTGGAAGGCTGAGTGCAGTGGCTCATACCTATAATGGACTTTGGGAGGTCGAGGAGGGTAAATCGCTTGAGCCCTGGAGTTGGAGACCAGCCTGGGCAACATGGTGAAATCCTTTCTCTACAAAAAATACAAAAATTAGCTGGTTGTGGTGGCACATGCCTATAGTCCCAGATACTGGGAAGGCTGAGGTGGGAGGATTGCTTGAACCTGGGCACTCAAGGCTGCAGTGAGCTATGATTGTGTCATTGTACTCCAGCCTAAGTGACAGAGGGAGACTGTCTCAAATAAATAAATTAATTAAAAAATAAACAAATAAATAAATAAATAAAAAATAAAATAAAGTGAGTGGAAGCATCTATAACCATTTTTTTTTCTTTTTTCTTTTTTAGGCAGGGACTCACTGCATCTGGCCCAGAATGTTAACAATCATGAATTAGGAAAGGCAGAATATAAATTGAAGGTCTCCTTTAACTTTATATAGTGAGCCATATGAAACTGCCAGTGCCCAGTGATTTTGATCTATAAAAATGTAAATTTTATATGATCCAACCTAGTTATTTTTTTAGTGTTTCAAAATTAAAAAACAGAATCAACCTTTAAAAAAAAATCTTATTTCTTCAGCCACCAGCACAACACAATGTACTTGATAAAAGATGCCACTGTAGACCTGAGAGCCTTTTGCGAGGTAAGACAAGCAAAATTGAGAAAAGAGGTAAGCGGTGTGTTTTTGGACAATAATGACTTTATCTGATATGTGTTCCAAATCCCAGATTAATGGAATTGACTTTCAATTCAATTAACTTTTGATCCTTAAACATATATCTGTTTTTTAATTTGTTTTAATTACAAATTCCTATTTTTAAATGTAAAATTGAGAAGTATATGAATAAGGAACTGCTGCAGTATGATGCCTTTGCACCTGGGAAAGGTAAGTGTCAACTGATCCCGTAAGACTTCTAGAACTGAACTTGGTGTGCCCAGAGAATTACAGGTACATAAATTCAAATTAAGTTATCTGGGATGATTGGTTTGGATATCTCTGCATCTACTATGAATGACATAAGTGAGGAAACTCATTGACAAAGGCAGTGCTTATTTGTGTCAGGATACATAGGGTAGAACTGGTGGAGGATGCAACTTGCAACTTTTAACTAATAACTTACTTTTTGCTGAACCTGTTGGACTTGGCTATGCTTAGAAATATGAGGGGGAGGAGGCTGAGGCAGGAGAATGGCGTAAACCCAGGAGGCGGAGCTTGCAGTGAGCCGAGATGGCGCCACTGCACTCCAGCCTGGGCGACAGAGCGAGACTCCGTCTCAAAAAAAAAAAAAAAAAAAAAGAAATATGAGGGGGATACTACAAGGTGGAGTTTTTCTCCCTCTGTCTTCCTATGGTGATAGGAATGATAGGTACAAAAGAACAAAATGACTCACATGTTTAATACAAAGCCTACTGGGACAGAAGTATGTCACTTACTTATTTTATGTTAGTTCAGAAGAGAAGACTAGACAGTATTTTTTAAATTACCAAGCTGGATTCTTTAAAATGCGTCCCCAAATTTACCTTGATGAAGAGTTGCTCACTTGAAATCTTTAAGCTGAATAGTAAAAAAGCAAGAGAGGGGAAGAGGCCTGCAGGAGACTGTAAGAGTTAGCTGGATAGTTGAAAGGCCACAGTGGGTGCTTGGGGTCCAGCAGAGTACAGCTCTCTTAATTTCAAATATAAAAATGCTACGGTTGTGGGAAATGACAGCTGTGGCCACATGTTTTCCCTCTACCCACCCACATCAAAATGCCAATGAGTTCTAAATCTTGCTCCTTTCTGGTAATGTAACAGTACTTAAAGCAAGTACTTCAGTAGCTGCAGGCCACCAGAAGGATGGAGTCCAGAGCCTGCTGTCCTGTGACTAGTGGGTGGAAGCACATATCTCACCGTTCCATCATGATCAAAGTGCTGCACACTTAAAAAGTTCAAAATCCAGTGTCTGGACCTGGTTTTTCTAAGAGGGCATGCTTTAGGTTTTTATTGAAGGTAATATATTTCTGGAATAAAAATGGCAACTATAGCATAGCAAAAATAATGATATTGACAATAACAATATCACAATAACAATGAAAGTTAATTGAGTATTTACTCTTTGAGGGACACTGGACTCAGCATTAGAAAGCTTATCTTCTATAATTCAAATAGCAACTCTATAACGTAGGTGCTATTTTTATTATTTTCAGTTTACAACTGAGAAAAGTAAGGCACAGAGAGATGAAATTATGTGCCTAAGGGACTCACGACTAATAGGTGGCAAAATAATGATTTGAAACTTGACTGTTATTCTCAAAAGCCCATGAGCACCAGCTTCCTAGACCTAAAAACTAAATTGTCATTCTCTTATTATCATCGCTATTTAACATTTTCCACAAGGTTGGCCTAACCATCAACCATTGTGCTTTTGGAAAAAAAAATTCTAATGGCATTCTTACTCCCCTTACATCCCCTTCCATCTGTTTCTTTGCAAAGATGATTGACGACTGAGCCTGGAGTCTAAAAATGCTGTCAACATCTGTAGCCCCAGGAGCTCATACAAAGTAACTAACTGGAAAGTCATTAACTGATGCAGTAACTATTTTCTGTCCCGAGGAGAACCTTGGCACCTGAGAGCAAGACTCTTGGGCCCTACGTGGAGAGACCAGTATAGTAACGTATAATGCAGCCCAACATATGTGTCAAACAAACAGGGCCATTGGGGGCACAGACTAAGGTGCCTACTTCAAATGAAATGATATTCCAGCACTATCCTCCTGTATTATAGTTAAAGCAGCAAAGGGTTAATTAAAAGCAATCTCTCTTGTTTCTTAGGAGACCCTTTCTCCTTTGCCAGTAGATGACTGTTTATACTCCCAGTTTATTTCTTCAGTCCTAAAGATATTTTATTGCCTGCTAAACTAAGTTTTCTCTAAATTGCTGGAGAAGAAAAACACCCCAAACTGCTTATTTCATCAAAACTGGCTCCTATATTACATTGTCCAAAATGAAATCCACCAATCCAGGGCACCAAAGTTGATAATATGAGAGAGAGGTGCTTGATAAGATTTTTAAAAATTCTCTGGAGTCACAGTTGGTCATTACTTAACCTGTCAATCTCACAAGTACTCCGTAGGAATCTCTCCATCTCCTACCAGATAATTGCATTAAGTTATATTGTTTGAATTACTGTCATATAAGCACTGAGAGGAAAGAGAATATGAACAACTGCTTCATAGAGCATTTAGAATATTGCCAAGTGTAAAGAGATGCTTAAGTGCTGATCAAGATGACATGTGGTAAATTAGCCCCCAGCATCATGGCAGAGTTGACTGGCTCGAAAGTCACCTGACTTCCTGACAGCCCCATTCCTTGGCAGGTATTGGAGATTTAAGTAGTGGTGCTGGATTCTAATAGTACTCCCAAGGATGCAAGTGTGCTAAGGCTTTCTCCTCAAGGTGTGACACTTAGCACACTTGTGTGACCTGGACTGATATCTTGGCTCTGCCACTTTCTTGTTGTATGATCCAGTGCAATAATTTAATTTTCCTGAATCTCACTTTCCCAATCAGTAAAATGGGAACAGGGCTACTTTTCTGTCCTGCTTCACTAGGCTATTGTGGGGCTCCAATAAGAAAAACTGTAGAAAAATGCTTTGAAGAAAAATGGTTTGAAGAATAGGCAAGTACTTAAGTACTATAAAAATACATTGTTAGCTGAGAATTTTGAGTGGTGTGTGTGCATGTGTGTGTGTGTGTGTGTGGGGGGGATACAAGTAGAGGTGGGCTAGTGTGGAAGACTTAGACTTTATCATTATGATGATGATGATGATGATGATGATGATGGAGTCTTGCTCTGTAGCCCAGGCTGGAATGCAGTGGTGCAATCTTGACTCACCACAACCTCCACCTCCCAGGTTCAAGCAATTCTCCTGCCTCAGCCTTCTGAGTAGCTGGGATTACAGGCATACACTACCATGCCTGGCTAATTTTTGTATTTTTAGTAGAGACAGGGTTTCACCAGGTTCTTCAGGCTGGTCTCGAACTCTTGACCTCAGGTGATCCACGCACCTTGGCCTCCCAAAGTGCTGGGATTACAGGCGTGAGCCACCGCACCCTTCGGCTTATTATTTTATTATTATTTTAACGTTTTCTCCACACTTGAGAGATTGGTCAACAATTATGGTTAAATTACTAGTACCAGTTTTCAATACCTCCTAGGGAAGTCACCAATAGGTTATTATTAGTCTACCTCGTATTTCCTGAACAAAAATAATTCATTTAGCTCTGAATGGTTATCTAAGGCATAAAAAACTTGGTTTAGTTTTTTGAGTATCTGCAGTGTCATCAAACTTATCCAAATATTTAATCTAAATTCCATGTGCTGTCATTTAAGGCCATTATGTCTGGTTCTTTCCTCATCAGTTAATCTCTGTAATAGTGCTCTATCTGGCTCATTCCATCCTTTTATATTTCTGTAGACAGTTATCACCCCAAATGCCTTCACTTTATTTCTGAGCCAGCTATCTTTTTCTTGACTCAAAGGCCATCACTTGGAAATATTTGTCACTTTTAGTTGGTCTCTTCTGAAATCTGAAACACTTTACATCTACCTGTTTAAATTCAGGATCACGGGCTCTTGCTCGTCTTTGCTCTATGAATCAAGGTAGAGGGCTCTCCTATAAACTGTTTTTTTTCTATTTTCCTATCACTGCATGTACCTTTTCTTTTCACCCAAAATAATCCAAGGCAAGCAGGGAGGAAAAAGCACTTCCCTGGGGTGAATTGACTCTTACCACAAAGACTTCACAGCAGATGCAAAGGCCACTGTTCTTGGTAAAGGCGTGAGTTATGTCCAGGAGAGCAGGTCTTGTCATGGGTCCCCCTGTTAAGACAATGCATTGGGGCCTGGAAGTGAAAAAAAGATGTGAGAATGGGCCACTGCAAGAAGTCTGTAACCTTAGAACCATTCCAATGGGATGACAGGTACACAGGCTTGGAAAAATGGGACAACCTCTCCCCTATTGTATGGGTTTTGCACTAGAATTCTTGAATCATCCTGCCTGTCCATCTTGACATGTTTGTGTTCTCAGTTCAGTTAGTCATAGCAAAAGTGTGAAGTAAGGAAAAAGTAGTCTTGTGGTCCCTGATATGGTTTGTCTGTGTTCCCACCCAAATCTCATCCTGAATTGTAGCTTCCATAATCCCCACATATTGTGAGAGGGACCCAGTGGGAATTAACTGAATCATGGGGACAGATTTTCCTATGCTGTTCTCATGATAGTGAGTAAGTCTGAAGAGACCTGATGGTTTTATTAAGGGCAGTTCCCCTGCGTACACTCTCTTGCCTGCCACCATGTAAGACGTAACTCTGCTCCTCCTTCACCCTCTGCCATGATTGTGAGGCCTCCTCAGCCATGTGGAACTATGAGTCCATCGAATCTCTTTTTCTAGAAAAATTACCCAGTCTTGGGTATTTCTTCATAGCAGCATGAAAATGGACTAAAATTGGTACCTGTAGAGTGGGGTGTTGCTGTAAAGGTACCCAAAAATGTGGAAGTGACTTTGGAACCAGGTGTAACAGGCAGAGGTTGGAACAGTTTGGAGGGCTCAGAAGAAGATAGAAAAATGTGGAAAAGTTTGGAACTTCCTAGGGACTTGGAGGGCTCAGAAGAAAGGAAGATGTGTAAAAGTTTGGAACTTCATAGAGACTTATCCAATGGCTTTGACCAAAATGCTGATAGTGATATGGACAACAAAGTCCAGGCTGAGGTGGTTTCAGATGGAGATGAGGAACTCCTTGGGAACTGGAGAAAAGGTCACTCTTGTTATGCAAAGATACTGGCAGCATGTTGCCTCTGCCCTAGAAATCTGTGAAACTTTGAACTTGAGAGAGATGATTTAGGTATCCGGCAGAAGAAATTTCTAAGCAGCAAAGTGTTCAAGGGGAAGCAGAGCAAAAAAGTTGGAAAAATTTGCAGTAGAAAAGAAAAAATCATTTTCTGGGGAGAAATTCAAGCTGGCTGTAGAAATTTGCATAAGTAAAAAGGAGGCAAACGCTAATCACCAAGACAATGAGGAAAATATTTCCAGGGCATGTCAGAGAACTTCACAGCAGCCCCTCGCATAGCAGGCCTGGAGGCCCAGGAGGGAAATATGGTTTCCTGGGCATGGTCCAGGGCCCCCCTGCTGTGTGCAGCCTAGGGACTTGGTGCCCTGTGTCCTAGCCGCTCCAGCCATGGATAAAAGGGGCCAAGGTATAGCTTGGGTGGTGGCTTCAGAGGGTGCAAGTCCCAAGCCTTGGCAGCTTTCATGTGGTGTTGGTCCTGTGGGTGCATAGAAGACAAGAATTGAGGTTTGGGAACCTCCACCTAGATATCAGAGGATGTATAGAGATGCCTGGATATCCAGGCAGAGGTGTGCTGCAGGGGCAGAGCACTCATGGAGAACCTCTGCTAGGGTAGTGCAGAAGGGAAATGTGAGGTTGGAGCTCCCAGACAGACTCCCCACTGGGGCGCTGCCTAGTAGAGCTGTGAGAAGAGGCCACAGTTGTCTAGACCCCAGAATGATAGATCCACCGACAGTTTGCACCGTGCACCTGGAAAAGCTGCAGACACTCAACACCAGCCAGTGAAAGCAACCAGAAGGGAGGCTGTACCCTGCAAAGCCACAGGGGCAGAGCTGCCCAACACCATGGGAACCCACCTTGCATCAATATGACCTGGATATGAGACAAGGAGTCAAAGGAGATCATTTTGGAGCTTTAAGATTTTACTACCCCACCAGATTTCGGACTTGCATGGGGCCTGTATCCCCTTTGTTTTGGCCAATTTCTCCCATCTGGAACAGGTGTATTTACCAAATGCCTGTATTCCCATTTTAGCTAGGAAGTAAGTAACTTGCTTTTGATGTTACAGGCTCATAGGCAGAAGGGACATGCTTTGTCTCAGATGAGACTTTGGACTGTGGACTTCTGAGTTAATGATGAAATGAGTTAAGATTTTGGGGGACTGTTGGGAAGGCATGATTAATTTTGAAATGTGAGGACATGAAATTTGGGAGGGGCCCGGGATGCAATGACATGGTTTGGGCTGTGTCCCCACCTAAATCTCATCTTGAATTATAGTTCCCATAATCCCCATGTGTTATGGGAGGGACCCAGTGGGAGGTAATTGAATCATGGGGGTGGGTTTTCCTGTGCTGTTCTCCTGACAGTGAATAGGTCTCCCAAGAACTGATGATTTTATAAAGGGCAGTTCCCCTGCACACACCCCCTTGCCTGCTGCCATGTAAGATGTGCCTTTGCTCCCCCTTTGCCTTCTGCCAAGATTGTGAGCCCTCCCCAGCCAGGTAGAACTGTGAGTCCATTAAACCTCTTTTTTTAAAATTATAAATTACCCAGTCTTGGGTATCTCTTCATAGCAGTATGAAAATGGACTAATACAGTCCCCCTCTCCTTTTTCCTCTAGCCACCTACCCCAAGTCCCAAGGCAATGTGTTCCTTTCCAAGCAAGATTTTTATGTTACTTTCTTTCATTCTTCATACAAGCTTGTGTTTCAGATTTCATTCAAAATAAGATACAACTAATGAAAAGCAAAAAGCGTTACTCTTAAGAGAATTCAGTAAGCCCTAAAGCCTTAAGTGGAATGGAAACAATAGCAGAATAATGTGTGTGGGGATTTAGGATCATCTCTCTGAAGTCACATTACTTAGTCCACTTTGCTATCTCCACGCATGGAAGGTGACACCTGGCATTATGAGGGGCTGTAGTTTGGGGTGGGCAGAGTAGGGTGTGGAAGGAAAGAAGCACTCACTCACAGGAGGTGCTGTCATGAAAATGTAGCAGTTTTGTATGGCTGCTTATTTTTAGAATGTACCCCTAAAGCTTATAACTACTCGAATGCCCTTGTCTCTCATAAAGGAGAGCCACTTCTAAGGTGGAACAACACCAGGATGCCTGAGACACCAGCTTTACCTGAAGTTTTTTACATGGTCTTCCACTGTGGTTAATTCCAGAGCATTGTCTAAAGCACTCACATAGGAAAGAGCCTGTGTGGAGGAGCCCCAGTTCACATCTGTGGATAAAGGAGGAAATTGGCATAAGAAGCACTGACCTTTCCTCTGTGTACCATGAATAATTCTTACAAGCCATTCCCTTCTATGATTTTCCCTGGCTATGCCAGCAACGATGAGTGCCCACATTAGAGAAAATATAGTGCGGGATTTCCTAAAAAGCACTTTGTATCCTTCTATGAATACTATGTGAATCTTCAGAAGCAAAGGCTTCATTCCAGCAAAGGATCAGACTGTACAACTGCAGTCCTAGAAATCTTGCTTGGTGGGAGAGGCTGTGCGATAACCACGTTGCAGGCAGATAGACTTGGGAAACTGGTCAATCCCTGAATAAAAATCAAAGCATCTTCACACTTTTTTTTTTTTTTTTTTGAGATGGAGTTTCGCTCTGTCACCAGGCTGGAGTGCAGTGGTGCGATTTTGGCTCACGGTAACCTCCGCCCCCCAGGTTTGAGAGATTTTGCTGCCTCAGCCTCCTGAGTAGCTGGGACCACAGGCACCTGCCACCATGCCTGGATAATTTTTGTATTTTTAGTAGAGACGGGGTTTCACCATATTAGTCAGACTGGTCTCAAACTCCTGACTTTGTGATCCACCCATCTCCGCCTCTCAAAGTGTTGGGATTATAGGCGTGAGCCACCGCGCCTGGCCCAAATTCTTAAATTGAAAAGAGAAGCAGCATTTCTGTATACACAGAAAGTGTGCAGTAATCTTTATATTTTGAACAGTAAAACTGAATAGCATGGGAATTCTTACTTCTAGAATTCTATGAAGAAGGTCAAGGTTCTTTAGCAAACATTTTAGTTTGATCTGTGAGAAGCTAATCCTTAATCTTCATCATAAGGGAGATCAGCTCTACCATCCCTCCCCCCCAACTCCCCTCCTTTTGTTTTTGAGACGGAGTCTTGCTCTCGCCCAGGCTGGAGTGCAGTGGCACCATCTTGGCTCACTCCAAGCTCTGCCTCCTGGGTTCACGCCATTCTCCTGCCTCAGCCTCCCAAGTAGCTGGGACTACAGGCACCCGCCACCACGCCCGGCTAATGTTTTTTTGTGTGTTTTTAGTAGAGATGGGGTTTCACCATGTTAGCCAGGATGGTCTCGATCTCCTGACCTTGTGATCCACCTGCCTCGGCCTCCCAAAGTGTGCATGAGCCACCGTGCCCGGCTTTTTTTTTTTTTTTTCTTTTTTACAAATTTAAGTATTAAATGGATCTTCCAAGGTTTATGAGAGGAAGTCCCTGGCAAGAAGGTACAGATACACCCCAGATGACAGACAAAACCTATTCTCCTGGAGATCCAGGGAAATGGGTGAATGATAATTATCTGGAGATAAAGAAGATCAATATTGATTAAGTGTTGATGGTGCATCAGGCATTAAGCATACCTTAGGCCATTTATTTTAAATAGGGATAAAAACTCTGCTAGTCAATTGGACGTTTATATGTAAAAAGTGAACCTTGAACAATACCTCACATCATGTACAAAAATTAACTCAAAATGGATAATAGACCTAAATATAATTTCCAAAGCATTTAAACTTCTAGAAGTTTGTGACTTTTGATTAGGAAAAGATATCTTAGATCAGATGCAACATGGTAAGCCATTAAAAAAAAAAAAAAGATAAATTAGACTTCACAAAAACTCAGAAGTTTTATTCTTCAAAACAAATTGTAAGGAAAATAGAGAAACCACAGATCCAGAGAAAATATTTGCAAAACACATGCTACTAAAGGATTTATGTCCAGAATAAAGAACTCTCATTACTGAATAATAAGAAAACAACTAAAACATGAGCAAAAGATTTAAACAGACACTTGACTAAAAAAGATATATGGATGGCAAATAAGATGTTCAACATCGTTAATCATTGGGAAAATGCAAATTAAACCACAATGAGGTGGCACTACACATCTATTAGAATGGCTTTTAAAAAATCAACTGGCAATAATACATGCTGACAAAAATGTGGAGCATCTAGGACTCTCATTCATGGCTCGTAGGAATGGAAAATAATACTGCTACCACAGAAAACAGTTTGGCAGTTTCTTATAAAGTTATATATACACTTACTATTTAATCATAAATCCCACTACCAGATATTTACCCAAGGGAAAAATGAAAACATAAGTCCACATAAAGTCCTGTGGACCTAAACTGAAAACAACTCAGATGACCATCAACTGGTGAATAGAATTTAAGAATATATGTGATGTATTCATACAATAGAATCCTACTCAGCGACACCAAAGAATAAACCACTTACATATGCAACAGCATGGATAAATCTAAAAGCATTCTGCTAAGTGAAAGGAAGTCTTCTCAAAGGCTATATCTTGTATGTTTCTATTTATATGGTATTTTGGAAAAGGCAAAGCTACAGGATCAGACATCAGAAAAGCAGCTGCCTGAGGCTAAGTTGGAGGGTGGAGATTGACTACACAGGGGTATAAGGGAACTTGTGAGGATGATGGAAATATCCTGTATCTTGATGATGGTTACAACACTGTACAAGTTTGTCAAAACATACAGACAGCCCATTTAAAAGGGATGAATTTTTCCATATGTAAGTTATACATGATGTTAACAATATGTAAAGAAATAAATAAAAGCTAAACAGACCCCTCCAAGGTAGTTACTACAATCTCTGCTTTACTGACAGAGTAAGGGAACGGAGAATGTGAGGGTGGCTCTGGGTTTCCCTGCACCGCACTGTCTGCAGCCCCTCCTAGATTTAATATCCCTGGTACTAAAGTCAACACCCAAAGTTCAGATCCAACTGCTTCTTCAATTGATTAGCCTGTGCCATCTTCCTGTTGCTCACAACATCAGATTCTTTGGCATGACCTTTAAGTTTCTTATTTATCTGGCCCCCCATCACTCTTCCAGGCTCCCTCTGTGATCCTTCTCCCCATCACTCAGGAACCTTCTGTGTGTTGAAGGCCTTGAGCCTTCCCAAATATGCCGCCCCGCACTTGTATGTGTCCTTACAGTCATTCATACTTCACCTTCTGCCCAGAATACCATTCCCCAACTCTGATTAACCAAACCCCAGTTGCTTGCTTTTTTTTTTTTTTTTTTAAAAAAAAAACTTACTTATTTATTCATTTAAAAAATATTCGTTAAATGTCCACTGAGTGTTTGACTCTGTGAACATAAGTTAGGAACCAGAAAGTTTTCCTGGATAACTCCAAAGTTAATCCTTCCCTCCCCTTTTCTCAGCAATTTGCTCATATTACTCTCATAGTGGTTACTATTTTGTATCATAATTAATTCCTTAAGTGTGACTCTGTGAACTCCTTGAGCACAGGGACTATGTCTAATTTATCAGGACATCAGAAACAAAGTGAAGTAATGGAAAGCTTGTCGGGTTGGTTTGGTATCATACACGTGCTGGTTATATGGTCAGATCTATCACATCCTGATTATTACTTTGGTAAGTAGTCAACTCTTTGAACCCCAGTTTCTTCATCTGTAAAATGGCACTAACAGTATTGTGAGGATTGAATGAGTGCATGGTATATAACAGGTGTTCAACGAGGTTAACTATTGCTATTATTATTATTATTTGAGATGGAGTTTCGCTCTTGTTGCCCAGGCTGGAGTGCAGTGGTGTGATCTCAACTCACTGCAACCTCTGCCTTCTGGTTTCAAGCGATTCTCCTCCCTCAGCCTCCTGAGTAGCTGGGATTACAGACACGTGCCACCACGCTCGGCTAATTTTTGTATTTTTAGTAGAGATGGGGTTTCACCATGTTGACCAGGATGGTCTTGAACTCCTGACCTCGTGATCCACCCTCCTCAGCCTCCTGAAGTGCTGGGAGCACAGGCGTGAGCCACTGTGCCCAGCCCCAACTATTGTTACTATTATATTCCATGATATTATTAATATCCTCCTTACATATGCCTCACCTAAGCACATAAAAATGCTTAATAAATGAGCAGTTAGAGAGTGATTTGGAAACCCTATTCCATACAGTCCTTATTATCTTACCTGGCTTCTTATAAGTCACATAGACATAGAGGAAGAATTCAATGACATAGGTGATGACAGCTGCCCACCAGTTGATGACAAACATGACTGCACAGCACAAAACAGCTCCAAAAAGAGATACCCACATGTTGTAGATTCCATACGCAGGTCTCCATCCTGAAAATAAAATATGCAGAAGGAAAACTTCCACTCTACTACGATCATGCCACCGACTATTATAAGAATGCAGGTAACGTGCCTTTTTCGTGACATAAAGAATCAGAACTTTTAGGTCAATTTCCAGGCTCTGTGCTTATTTTCCTATGATCTTGGGTCCCTGGTCTATGAAGATGGTACTTACACCAAACAGAATGCTGTAAAGTTTAGGAAATGTTAAGCATCTGAAAAATGTGCCATTCAGGACCCTCCATACTCCATGCTCCTGACCGTCTTCCCAAACTTCCAAACCTTAAGCATCTGGTATTTGTGCCATCAGGAGCTGAAAAGAGGCAGGAGGAATGGGAAGAGTGGGATCTACTAGGTGGTGAGGAGAAAGTTCTTGGTTGTCCGAGAAAGAAAAAGTGAAGAAAATGGGTTTTTTGCTCCCATGGAGAAGGCGGAGTAATCATCAAGACTCAATCTGCTTGACTTCCTGGTAGCTCTTCCATTACCCTAAGAGGACAGTGTTTGCCTTTTCAGAAATAATAATTGATGAATAAATCAGGAGAAATGGCTTTTTAAACTCAATGGCTAGCAAAGGCTTCTGAAACCCAATGTGTTAATATGTCATACATTTTGCAATGAAAATATTTCTCACAGTGTGCACATGCATGGGGGTTTTCTGTGTTCTCTTAGTTTCCTGAAATGGAAGCAACTGGAAGACAGTATGGACAGGAGGGAAAAGCTCTGATTTGAAGGGCACCTTTTGTTAATGAATGGGGTACGTTTTAATATAGGAGTTGCCAAAACACAACAGAACTTTACGTGTTTGGGAGCAATTTCCTAAATGGCCACAAGATGGACATAGCACTGCAAGAACATCATTGAAAATAGCCTTTTTTTCTCTGAGTCTAGCTTCCCGTCCCCGTGTGTGTGTGTGTGTGTGTGTGTGTGTGTGTGTGTGTGTGTGTGTGTGTGTGTGTGTGTGAGAGAGAGAGAGAGAGAAACAGACAGACAGACAGACAGACAGACATTTTCTGGGTTTGCGTATCCATGTGTCTCCCTCTATATGCTTTTCTATATTTTCCTCTCTCTCTCCCCCTCTTTCCCATTCTCCTTTTCACTCTTTTCCCTGGCTGTCTACTATTTCACCTTATTTGTCAAAAGTGGCCATAACATGGCATGGAGTCACACATTTCTGTGTTAACAAAACACACAAAGAAACAGAAAGTCCTCTGCTACTTTCTGTAGCCTAGTATTCATTAGATTAAGGTTGGTCTTCCATCTATATTTTGTCTTATTGGCAGCAAGTTTTCCAAAGGAGGCTTAATATCTTGTCAGGCCCTGAATGAGTGGAAATGTGTTTATATATCCAGTAAAAGTTCTCAAGGTGGAGATCTTTCTGAAGGTAGGTAATGACAAGTCTCTATTCTGGTAGGAAGGTAGAAGAAACTGTAGTAGACAATGAAAGCAAAGAAGAGGTGAGGAGTAACTAGAAAGGGGAAGGCTCTTTGGTGTGAAATTTTGAACAACTTTAAACCACAGCTCAAAGGGTGCACTGATGCCACCAGCATCAATGCAGCTTGTCTACATTGCCTCCACTCAGCAGGTAATTATGGGAACTACTCATCCTTCTCTTCTGCACCATGGGCAGGAAACAAATTGATAGTTAGGAAGTTTCAAATATATACATTAATTCCACTTCTGTGGTCACTTTCACCCTGGAAATAAATAGTGGTGTTTTTCTACTGCTGAAATAAATGTGGTTTCTCTTGCAATGAATAATTTATTGCCACGAGAGAAAATTGACTTTACGGTTGGTCAAAAAGGCCATTGCTCAAATGATTCTTTTTCTATTTCAAAACTCATCCCCAAACTCACCAAAATAAAGTAGATTACGCTTCCCACTAGGATATAAGGAAACATATAAACACAGATTGAACACTTTTCACTGACTTATTTCGTTTTATTGAGACAAACTAACTGTTTGCTTAGGCATATTTTAGTTTTGGAAGTCAGCTTACCTGGAGATTTGGCATAAGAGGCATGGAAGCAGGAGAAATTAATAAGTGCATATGAGGCCAGGAAAAAGTTGGAGATGATGGGAGCAATGGTGTTGAGTTCCGCTGTAAAAGTAACAGAATTGAACATGTACGTATGAGTGATGAGACCAGGGGCTGAACAGCTGTTACAGCCTGGAAGCTTGACTTTATTTGGAAATTGAAAACATAGCGAGCATCTGTCAAAGTTTAAGAAGTTAGTCATTTTTCTTTGGGGGATACATATTTACTCTTAGCTAGGGTTTCTATAAAGTAAGAAATAAAAAAGTCTACCAATCAGAAAATAGACAATTGAGACCCCTACCTACAAAATGTTCAAGTGGCAATGGGTAGGTGTGGGACTGGGCATACAATTAACTCCCCTGCAGCTTTTCTGGAGGCATCTAATCCTGTGTTCTTTAACTGTTATGTATGCAATAAATAGGCTCTGCAGGATATTAGTTAAATACCAGTGCACCGAAAACTCCCTAGTGGAAATCTCCCTGCATAGACCCAGTATGTGTTCTCTGATTTTCAGGACTCTTTGTCATTCATACCTTTTCCACATCTCTAGAGAGTTCTGCCTCTCAAGGCTAGCCAAATATATTATTATTATTATTATTATTATTATTATTATTTTGAGATAGAGTCTAGCTCTTGTCGCCTAGCCTGGAGTGCAATGGCACAATCTCAGCTCACGGCAACCTCTGCCTCCCGGGTTCAAGCGACTCTCCTGCCTCAGCCTCCCTAGTAGCTGGGACTATAGGTGCCTGCCACCATGCCCAGGTAATCTTTGTATTTTTAGTAGAGACAAGGTTTCACCATGTAGGCTGGGCTGGTCTTGAACTCCTGACCTCGAGTGACCCGCCCACCTCAGCCTCCCAAAGTGCCGGGATGAACAGGCATGAGCCACTGTGCCTGGTCCAAAAATACTTTTGCCTCAGGAGTAAATATCTGGTATGATTTAATTCCAGTTGGATTTTTTACTGGGCAATACAAGAAAAAATATAGAGACATCATCCTTTATCTGAAGGTCAGACACCTATCACCCTCAATGATGCAAATGATGCAATGGTGCAAGTGATGCAATGATGCAAATGCAGGCAGCTGGGTGTGATTCTGGAACATGGATACTGACAAGAAAGTAGGCAAAACAGCTGCCATGATGCTTATGCGTGGAGCCAATCCACTTGTTCTGAAAGAATGATTTTAAATGATATTATCTAATGTATACAAGACTTTTAAAACTTTGGTTGCTCACTCAAATGCAGCATGAGGCAATGATTTGAGATCTTAAAGGCTAAATTACATAATTGAAACATCTCCATATGAAATCACTTTTTTTTTTTTTTTTTTTTTTTTTGAGACGGAGTCTCGCTGTGTCGCCCAGGCTGGAGTGCAGTGGCCGGATCTCAGCTCACTGCAAGCTCTGCCTCCCGGGTTTTTACGCCATTCTCCTGCCTCAGCCTCCCGAGTAGCCGGGACTACAGGCGCCCGCCACCTCGCCCGGCTAGTTTTTTGTATTTTTTAGTAGAGACGGGGTTTCACCGTGTTAGCCAGGATGGTCTCGAACTCCTGACCTCGTGATCCGCCCGTCTCGGCCTCCCAAAGTGCTGGGATTACAGGCTTGAGCCACCGCGCCCGGCCATGAAATCACTTTTAAGTTAATTTTTAAAAATCTAACAAACACAGAGAGATACAAATGCCCTTCTTCAGCCTCATACAAATGCTATGAGGATTCATGAATTATAGTCCCTTCCTGAGTTCAACATGTAATGATGAGGAGCCCTCATTGCTTGGCACTGCCGTGCTGAAGAAGTCTCTGCCCGCCTGTGTGTGGCTCCCAAAGTCCTCTGCCTTCTGCTGCTTTTCCTCTGATATGCTCATCAGCAAAGGTGAGGCCTTAGGGAGGAGTGAGACATGCGCAAGTTTAAGTTGATGAATGTGCCTCTCCAAGATTATGTAGCTGTTTCTATATCACCTGGGGAGAGGAAGCCAAGATTATAGTCTAGGTAAGTGGTTCTCAAATACCAGTGGTCTACTTGAAATGTAGACTTGTGAAATGTAGACTCCTTACCCTCAGAGAGTCTGACTCAGTTACTCTGGAATTGGGCCTGAAGTCTCCGCACTCGCCCAAACACCCCAGGTGATTGCGATATAGATGCTCAGTGGATCACATTCCCAGAAACACTAACAGGCAATTCAATTCTGCTAGCCGTCAGGTCAGTAGTTATGGCAGCTGGGGGAGACTCTAGATTTAGACAGTTTCAGGCAGGTGGGAAGAAGGATTCAGCTGCCTTTGGTTGGATGGATTTCGAACACTCAGATTCAAAGAATAGATTAAAATTCAAAGTCTACCTCGAGTTCCTCAAAGGCCCTCTACACACAAGGATTTCTCATTTCCTTCTTAGATGCCAGTATTCCCAAATGGGATCCTAAACATGAAACGGGTAGTTTTTCAAACTAAAAGGAAAGCCCTATGAATAATCAGAAGAATTCTTTGGTTTTCAATCAAAACAAGAAAACTTTACAAACCAATAAGAATAAATGCCATGGCTATAAGAAAAGTGAGAATATATCCTCTCAGGGGTTCATTGTTTTTCCCATATCCCTTTGCAAAAAACTGCAGAGCTTTGTAGATGTTGTCCTTGCACAGAGCCTAATGGAAAAGAAGAGAAGACATTTGTCATTTATAGCTATGCACAGTCATTTTCTCTAGGTGATTCAAACGGGAAGATTTGGGGAAAGATTAAGTGATACACAAGATCAGGCACAAGTTAACACTGCACTTTATCATTCTTTATATTATTTGAATCGATCTTGACTATATGGCAGACATAGTACTTGAGCCAGATGCAAACATTAACTGTTTCAGAAAATGATGGAAAATGATTGCCAGTGAGAATGAATATTTCAGCTTGCTTCACATTCTGTGGAAACAGCAATAGGGAGAAGCACAAGCTGTTGTGCTTGTATTACCTGGAACACTTTGGGTGCGCTGACAAGGGAAGCCAGGGCGGAGGAGAGCGTTGCAGAAAAGATTCCCGCAGTGATGAGGGGGCCAAACCCTGATACCATGCTCATGACCTTGAGAAGAGAGGTACAAGTGAGGAGACTTCCTGTGATTTGGAATCTATTTCATAAGCAAATTGCTTTCAGCTAGATTTTTTCCCCCTGCTTCTTTCTCACTTTCACATTCTTGTTTGTTTGTTTGTTTGAAACAGAGTCTCGCTCTATTGCCCAGGCTGGAGTGCATTGGCACGATCTTGGCTCATTGCAACCTCTGCTTCCTGGGTTCAAGCGATTCTTGTACCTCAGCCTTCCGAGTAGCTGGGATTACAGGCACCTGCCACCACGCCCCACTAAATTTTGTATTTCTAGTAGACACGGGATTTCACCATTTTGGCCAGGCTGGTCTTGAACTCCTGACCTCAAGTGATCTGCCCGCCTCAGCCTCCCAAAGGGCTGGGATTGTAGGCATGAGCCACTGTACCTGGCCCATTCTCACGTTCTTAATTTTATTTTTTAAAAATAGAAATGGCCTTTTTGGTTATTTATAAGATAATAAATGCTCACCACAATATATCCAGAAGATACTGGAAAAAATAAAGAAGGAAATGGTTTCAAGGATTTTGACATTTTCCCCTCTGTTCTTTGTGGCCATATGTTTCTTTGATGATGGGGAATTCTATCCAGCAGAAAGCAGTATTTTAATACGGTTTGGGGAGGGGCTCAGCTGTTTACTAGTCTTTTTACAGCCGTTAACCTTTCTTCTTCCTGCACACAGAGGCTTTTCAGACCTTTGCTATTTCTGTGCTCATTAAACATAATTTTAGATCTGAGACATGATGTGATTCTATCAATTTAAGTCATATTTTGGAATAATGACTTCAGTTGAGTTAATTTCTCTTTGTGGGTTGTTAAAACAGAAGAGTGAAGCTTTCACGACAAATTTACTTCTCCCTCTGCTCACCAATCATGCAGACAAATTAATAGGTTTAAAGTCCTACAGCTTTCCTAACTTCCATTGTTACTTCCCCCTTATTTATCTTCCCTCTGGCACTCACAATTTCTCTCTTAGCCTTGTCTTCCAGGCTCTCCAGGGCCACCTCAAAGGCTTTGTCTAAGCTGAAGGCCGTATATGAAATGCATTCCAAGATTTCTCAATGAACTTAAAACAGAACTATCATTTGACCCAGTAATCTCTTTACTGGGTATATATCCAAAAGAAAATAAATCATTCAACCAAAAAGATACAGGCACTTGTATGTCTAGTGCAGCACAATTCATAATAGCAAAGACATGGAATCAACCTAGATGCCCATCAGTGGTGGACTGGATAAAGAAAATGTGGTACACATACACCATGCAATACTACACAGCCATGAAAAGAATAAAATCATGTCCTTCACGGTAACATGGATACAGCTAGAGACCATTATCCTAAGCAAATTAACACAGGAACAGAAAACCAAATACAACATATTCTCACTTATAAGTAGGAGCTAAACATTGAGTACTCATGAACATAAAGTGGCAACAAGGGACACTGGGGACTACTAGAGGGGGGACAGAGGATGGCAAGGGTTGAAAACTAGCTATTGAGTACTATGCTTAGTACCTGGGTGAACTACTTACAATGAACAGAGGCTACTTGTAATACCCCCAAATCTCAGCATCACACAATACACTCATGTAACAAACCTGCACATATAGGATACTCCCCGAATCTAAAATAAAAACTAAAATTATAAAAGAAAGAAATACATAACAAGTGCTAACTAACCTAAGTTCCTTTCCACCATGAAATCTTGCACAACTGACTGGAAGACACATAGTGCCAGGAGATGATCTCTCCCTGGTGATGCAATTCATACGACTGCCTATTGTCTCTGACCACAGGAAATGTAACATAAGATTCGCTACCATGTAATGCCTGTATGACTCCTTTCCCTCCCACATGAATCATTCCATGCTGGATTCTTATCAGCCAGTAATCAATCAGTTGCAGATTCAGAAATCTTACTCTATGTGACATTCAAAAAATGAAAATAATGGCAATGAACATTTTTAAATTTTGCTTCAAACCTGGAAATTGTTCATCAGTCCGTACTGACATGGTTCATGTCGACATCTTGAGAAGTCATAGCCCAACCCACATGCTGCTGAACCATTGCAGTTCATCCCAGAAATGATGGTGTCATTCATGTTCCCGGTGGCATCTCGGACCACACAGGCCCCTGTGGAAACAACCGTGGCTTGTTATTTCTTTATAAGGTTCTGGTCCCCTAGGGTTTTCTTCTGAAAACATAGTTTACTTTGAGTCTGCAAAGGTCCATTTCTTAGCCTCTGTTCACTGTGGGTAGTTCTTGATAACTGGAGGCTCCCATCTGCTGAGCCCTGGGGTTTCCCCTTTTCTGTAACAGGCTGCCATTTCAACTGCCTGTGTGACTTAGATTTGAGTGGTAAGAGACTTGGGAGTTGACACTCAGTCTTAATTTCTTATCTCTTAAAACTTGCATGGTAGCCCTTGGTACATAACACATACTCAATACATATGTCTGGCTTAGTACTAACGACTGGATGTTTTTCAAGTAGAAGGATTTATTTCCTCATCTGCAAGAGAGCCAAGGGGTGGCATTATGGAATTCTATTATAGCGATTAAGAGAACGCAGCCCCTCTTTTCAACTAATGATATTCCTTGCATAATTTATAAAACAGAGTTATAGTTCCACATTATATGCAGTTTTAATGGTTTAAACAGTAAAGGAAATGTTTTAGGATAAAATATTCAGATTTCCTAGGCAATGGTCAAATAATATTGATCTAGTATCTATCTTAGTTGATCTATTCCATTATTTTCATGCATTTGAGTGTATCTGTCATTTTCTACTATAGCATTCTATGATGAACATCTTCGTGCGTAAACTTTTTCTTCTAGGATAGATTCTTAAAAATAGAATTATGGTCATTTAAAAGACTGCTGATATATATTTTAATCACTGGCATTCCCTTATGATTTTTTCTAACTAATCTTTGCCGTGTTTTTGATAGGATTTTTGAAATATATGAATATATGTGTGAAGTATATATAAACTTTTCTGAACTACATGAAGGATAAATACTTTACAAACTAAATGCCAACCAATAAAACTGCTTTGGTTTTCAAACTCTACCCAGGGTGGATTCTCATGCCTTGCTAATAATACCTTTAAGACAGGTCCCAGAGACAGGAATAAATGTGATTCTTGGCCATGGAATCCACATTCTTTGAATTTGGGAGACTTAAAAATCATAGACTCTTTTTTGTTTGTTTGTTTTTGTTTTTGAGACAGAGTCTCGCTGTGTTGCCCAGGCTGGAGTGCAGTGGCACGATCTTGGCTCACTGCAACCTCCGCCTCCTGGGTTCAAGCAATTCTCTGCCTCAGCCTCCCAAGTATCTGGGATTACAGGCGCCTGCCACCATGCCCGGCTAATTTTTGTATTTTAAGTAGAGACGGGGTTTCACCCTCTTGGCCAGGCTGGTCTTGAACTGACGTCATGATCCACCCTCCTCGGCCTCCCAAAGTGCTGGGATTACAGGTGTGAGCCACTGCACCCGGCCAATCATAGACTCTTTTATCTGAAAGAGCCATTTAAAATAATCAGTGAGGGATCCTTTTTATCATAGTCCTGAGAGGTAGCCTGCCAGCTTCTACTTGAACGCTTGAAATTATGGATGTCAATTACCAAGTCAAACTATCCTTTCATATTTTACCTGTTTGCATTGTTCATTTATGTTGAACTGAACTCTTTGAATCATGTATTTTAACCTCTGCATAACAGATCTCTCAAAATTCCCATGAAGCCAGGCCATGAGTCGTTATTTGTACTAATGACAGGACATTGACTCCATGACTGTCCTTCTCCTATGCTGGGCAAGTGTAGAAATGTATATTTTTCCATCCATTCAGGGCAAAACTTGAAGGTCTGAAATCAGGTCTATAACTTTACTCATTCTCTCACTTTAACTGTAATAAAAAAGAAAACCACTAGGGAAATTTAACTTTAGTGGTTTCAATGTCATTTAAAAATGTGTTGATTTCCTAAGGCACTGAAACAAAAAATCTCTTTACATGTAACTACACTTGGACATGCCCTAACAATACATTTATCTACCTATTTATTGATTTTTGACACATGGTCTCACTCTGTTGCCCAGGCTGGAGTGCAGTGGTGTGATCACAGCTCATTGCACCCTTGACCTTCCAGGCTTAAGCAGTCCTCCCACCTCACCCTTCCCAGTAGCTGGGATCATAGGTATGTGCCTCCACGCCCGGCTAATTTTTTATTTTTTGTAGGAATGGGGTCTCTCTATGTTGCACAGGCTAGTCTTGAACTCCTGGGCTTAAGCAATCCTCTGGCCTCAGTCTCCCAAATTGGGATTACAGGCATGAGCTACTGTGCCCAGCCCCGACAATACTTTGAACAAAGTTATCAGATTTCCTCAAACTAGAGACAATGAGACAGGGAAGGATTTAAGTTCATTTTTTTTTTATCTCCAGAAGCCAACTGTAGGTACATGCACCTTCTCAATTTCTCTTATAGTAAGCGGAAGAGGACTGTGACGTACCCTTTGGCTTCATGGTGGTCCAGCCTAAAGCTTTTTCCCCTGTTGTACACGGAAGACAGTTTTCTTCTCTAAATGTTGAGAAACCTCTTCCTTTCCTACTATGCCAAAAGTATGAGGCAGCCCCCAACCAGGAGGAGGTGTGACTGTAGGCAGCAGGTGGAACGAAAGTCAGCCTCAGGAACAGCAGGTGAGTACACATATTTTCTGTTCACTGAGCAATGTAGGGGCTGGCCGCCCACACTGCCAGCAGCTGGGTCTTGTTCTGATATGCTGCCAATTGGTGACGGTGACATTTCCATATTAAGGATAGCAGTGCAAGGATGAGACACAGTCACAAATTCCACATCTTTCATACTTTCCTAAGGCTGTTTTTAGGTTTGAATGGTTTTGTTTTTCACTTCTTTTCTCTATTCTGTTTCTCTCCTGCCTCCTAGAACAAGGGAAGTGTGTGCTGGAAGTGGTGGCCTCCTTAGCAGTGGGATTATCATCAAGGGTAGTAAAATGGGACCCTCTTTGTGTTCAGGTAGAATGACAACCTGATTAGCTTTATTCTAGCCCTGACCCAGAGATGCCTGTATTACAGCTTAATTGCATTCAAATCCCTAAAGTGTCCAAATCATTAACATTAAGGTACCAAGAAGGGAATTAAAATGGTTGCCTTTTAAAAAGCTTTGTATTTATGCTTCATTGAAAGCCCACTAGATGTGAACAACTGGATCCCTCGTAATTCTGACATTCGAACACTAGAGACGTACCACTTACCTACACAAATTGCAACCCCTAAGTAGGCAACAGTGGTGATGAAAATGGCCAGCATGGTTCCTCTGGGGATGGCGTCTTGGGGATCCTTTAAAAAAATAATGTGGAGGTAGAAGAATACAGAGCAGAATAAGAACCATAGATCACTTGGAGTTATTTTCGCATTTTCAGATTTTTAGGCTACCCATCCTGAGGCAAGTTCTAAGAAAAGATCAAGCAAACGGCAAGTTGATAAGCTCGAGCTTTATTTTAGACAAAGACAAGGTGTGCAGAGTGAATAAAGAAATCTGTAAAACTTTCAGCGGAACAGAAGAGATCTCTAACTGTCCAGAAGGAAGTTTCTCTAGAAAAGTATAGTAGGTAGTTCACTCACCAAGGCCTCATCCTTCTCTTTATCTCCTATGAATGTCATTTAGATGTATTACATCTTGAATTTGTAGGGGAAAACATACAAACATATCTGGCATGTTGATAATATCTCTGTATGTATTTGTTTTATACTGAGCTTAAGCTTGCCTTTAAAAAAATCACTTTTGACTGAGTGAAAAGGATGATCTACTTACTAAATTCTTCAATCCCTTAAATTCCCTATTTGAAATCGAGTTCAGAAATATCTGCAATGGGAGATATTTAATTTCCATAAGCAGACATAAAGAAAGAGGCAAATTCAAGCTTATACCAGAAAATGGGCTTTTCTCTTGCTTATAAGTGTACATACATTCACTAAGTTGATTTCACATCATACTTAATTTACCATTTTATATCCTATTTGGGGGGCATAAATCATATAAAATCAATTTTTAAGTAGCATATTGAATTGTATTCAACTCAACTTAATAGAGATTATTAAATAGAAATTTTAATGTCTTCACTTTTACAGGACAGGGCCTGGCACAGAGTAGGAGTCAATAAATATTGAATTGAAGAAGGCACAATATCAGCAGGTATGAGTCCCCCAACCAGAGCACATTAGACTCATCAATACAAATAAGCAATCACTGCAGTCAAACAAAGTTTGTGCTTTAAAAAGAAAACTAAAATGTGCTGAACGAGTCCGTCAAAAAGGTTATACATAGTGAATGTAGACTCACTTGACAACTGAAAGTCACAACTGAATCAAGCAAACCTCCCCCACATGGCAGTAAGCTGGCCCTGTGGAACCACTCTGTGATCATTAATTCCTCCGCACTCTTCTAGGAGTATCTGCACACAGGGTTTGTTCTGACACGTACATACCCAGTCTCTTCCTTCCAAACTATTGTCTTCAGTGTGGCAGGTGTATGAAATGGAGCAGTGCACAGAAGGAAAAAGAAGGCAGTCATGACTATGATGGGGCCTACTGAATACCCTAATTTATGTTATCTTCCCAAATTTATTTTATTGATGAAGAATTTCTTGAGATCTGAGTAAAATGTAAAGAACTGACAGTGGGAAAAACAGAAAAAAAAATATATATAACATTTATGCATATTTATTTATATATATATATGGATAACAGATGTGAAGATGGAAGGCAGTCTTGTACCTAAAACACAAAAACTTAGTTTTTGGCCAGGCACGGTGGCTCACGTCTGTAATCCCAGCACTTTGGGAGGCCAAGGCGGGCGGATCACCTGAGGTCAGGAGTTTGAGAGCAGCCTGGCCAACATGGCGAAACCCCATCTCTACTAAAAATATAAAAATTAGCTGTGCATGGTGATGTGTGCCTGTAATCCCAGGTGCTCAGGAGACTGAGGCACGAGAATCACTTGAACCTGGGAGGCGAAGGTTGCAGTGAACTGAGATTGCGCCACTGCACTCCAGCCTGGGCGACAGAGTAAGACGCTGTCTCCAAACAAACAAACACCCCACAAACTTAGTTTTTATTTGCAACTATCTGCTACAAGCTCTAAAATGACTTAACAGAAGTCACATGAGAGTTGATCATGACTCTAAGACATTATTATTTATTTATTTATTTATTTTGACATGGATTCTTGCTCTGTTGCCCAGGCTGGATTGCAGTGGCTCAATCGTGGTTCACTGCAGCCTCAACCTTCCCGTGCTCAAATGATCCTCCCACCTCAGCCTCCCAAGTAGATGGGATGATAGGTGTGTGCGACCCTGCCCAGCTATTTTTGTGTGTGTGTTTTGTAGAGACAGGGTTTTGCCATGTTGCTCAGGCTGGTCTCAAACTCCTGGACTCAGACAATCGCCCACCTTGGCCTCCCAAAATGCTGTGATTATAAGCATAAGCCACCTTGTCTAGCCATGATCCCAAGACATTAACATGTAAATCTGGATGCCAATATATTAGTGTATGATTAGATATTCACATTGTCTGGTCTGGCTAGCTTCTCCTTAGATAGGGCTCAGGAGGACTTTGACAAATTATTGATTTTCACTTGAAATGTAGTTTCCATCCACAAGCAGTAACCCAAAACCTAACCTTCTTTATCTTTTTTCATTAGACATTTTATTTTTCCTTAGGACAGAATGCAAGCAATCTATTAGATCCCTGCTTTCTCAGTATGTCAACCACATCCTAATTTTGCTTCTCTGAAATCACTTCTTGATTAGACTTGGGTATTTTCTAAATCTTCTCCCTGGTACATATTTAAAGATCATCTATTAGTGCGTTATTAGGAAATGTAAGGTTCTGGATTTGTCGCATGCCCTTGTGCCTGTGAGCTTCCTTCCAGAGGAGGATTCTGAGGCTGTGAGTAGAGATCAGGACCCTGCCTACCCTATAGTGTGTAAACAGTAAATGTTTCCTAAATTGAACTGAATCCATTATGTTTTATTTCTAGGTTCACTTTCAAAGAGAAATAATATCTATAAGTACTGACGTTTCCTCCCCATTTCCCAACATATTGTCACCTCCCAGAACTTAACATGGTTGGCCCCTCCGGCTTGTGACCACGTTATTACTTCTCAAAGCATTCTCCTCTCTTGATTTTCATGACCCCACTGTCTTTTGATTTCTCCTGCTTCTTAGCTCTGTCTCTTTTTTCTTCATGGACTTGCTTTTTACCATTAATACTTTGAATGTCTGTGTCTCCCTGAACGCTGCCTCAAACCTCTTCTCTCTCCCCTTTTGCACATACCTGCATTAACTCATCCATGCCATGGCTGCCAGTCCTGCCCTAGCTCCTTTCAGAGCTCCAGACTCATACATCTAGCTACCCACTCACTAGACATCGCCACCCCATGTCCTTCTGCCATTTCAACCTCAATAGACAAATGTGAGCTTCCTTTCCTCATCTACTATACTGTGGAATCAATTCAACAGGTTACCGCCAGCATTAAAAGAATGCAATAGAATAGAACTGATGTGAGAATATCAGAAGGCATTGCTTGTAATAAAGTAGAGAACCATTTGGGGAAAATTTTCTAAGTGTGCACTTGGTTGTGATATATAATGTTTTCTTACAGTGGGTCATAGTAAAAAACATTTTTTTTTTTCTATTTCTTCTCCTAACTCTAACAAAAGCTGATATCTTTGGTTCTTTTCCTCTGCATGGCCTTAAATCATGCCCATGTTGTCTTTTGTCCAGACTATTATGATAGTCTCTAATTGATCTTTCTGCCTCCAGTCTTCCTGCCTATTACACCCTTTCCCCACCTTCCAAACCACCCTCCACAAGCTGTTAGCAGGCTCTCTATAAAACACATATTTGATCATGTTACTCCTTTGTCTAACCTCCTTAGAATCTCCAGCTAGTTTGGGGATAATATCCAAACTCTACTGTCTGTAGTTTAGAGGACCCCTGAGTTCTGTATATAGTAAAAGTATATAGTATATAGTAGTGTATGTGTTAAAAGTTAAACTTAATTATAAAATCATAAAAGTATTTTTAAATAAAAAGAATGCAACATTCTACGATAATGTTATGACCATGTATGCCCCCAAAGTCCTAACAGGCCATTGTTTGTAGTTCTTTACATGTGAACTCAGAATCAGAGATATCTCAGTAGAGGCTGCTAAATAAATAAAAACTTCTTCACTAGCATAACAACCCTAAATCAAGTTAACACTTATTTTGAAGGGGGAGGAATTTTAAGTCTTGTCTTTTCAGACAGAAATAATATCTTCTCTTTCTTTGCTTACTCCCAGAGTACCTAGGGCACATAGAAAATTCTTTATAAATATGTTTCTTAACATATTAATGAAGGATGACATACGCTACTCTGCACATAAAATAATTCTCAGTAGCAGCATCTTTCTCGGTGCCTTTTTACACCCCATTCCTTCCGTTTCAAATGTTCCTCTCTTCTTTGTCCTGTTGGCAAACTCCTGTTCATCCCTCAAAACCTGGATTGAGTGTCCCCTCTTCTGAAAGTCTTCCTTTACTTTTGAGGGGACAGGCAATTGCTGCTTCCTCTTTCCTTTGCACTTGATTCTACTCTTGCTTGTTCTAATTCATGTAAGGGAAGTCTGTCTCCCCCTTCGACTTTGAGCTCCTTGAGGGACAGGTGAAGCTCCTTGCTTCTCAGTACCTGGTGTGAACAGGCACTCAGTGAGGGCTAGCTAAGCGGAACTGACTGCTAAACATCTGATACAAACTTGTTTTTAAGGAGTCTAAAGAAAGAACAATATTCTTTACTTTAAAGATGTGTTTATAGTTTGCAGAAATTTAAATCAGTGACCTCTGATACTCTCCCAGAGCTGAGAAACCAGAAGTTCAACATCCATAGCTAAATTTCATTCAGCAGTGATACTACTTGAATCATTTTGAACAAGTTTCTTAACTTTTCTGCACTTCAGCATAATATTTTTATGCCATATTTCTGCTTGAGAACTTACCATAGCACTGTGGCCCTTAATATAAAAAATCTAAATGCCTTTATTTTATTTACTCAATTAGTATTTATTGAGGCTGTGCTAGCTTTGAGGATATAGCAACGAACAAAATCAAAGGGAAAGTCTCTGCTTTCATGGAGTTATGTTCTAGGGCAAGCGCCTCTGGCTCAAGTCCCTCCAATAGCTGTTTCCCTTTGCCTTCAAGGTGATCGAGCCCCATCAGGGTTTCTCCAGTTGAACTGTAAGAGACTTCTCACTGTTTCCAGTTTCCTCATGCCTGACTATCCTTTCTGCCTGGAATACTCTATATTTCTTCATCAATAGTCAGCATCCAGCCTTTGCTTTATGTTCAGGTTGAAAAGTTATTTCTTTGAGAAAATCATCCCTGATTAACTTAACAATTTTTTTTTCAGTATTTTTATTTCACATCCCACTTGGACAATGCATATGGTTTTCATGTATGTATATTTCTTGACGAGTCTTGAAAATATTTCTTGTCTTCTAAAGTTGATCATAAATTTGTTGAGGTAAAACCTGTGGCTTCTACTTTGTGTGTGTGTGTGTGTGTGTGTGTGTGTGTGTGTGTTAGAAACAGCTTATTGTTCCCTGATATACATCCTCACTTTCCTCCTTTTAATACTAGAACCCCCTAAAATTTTATCTGGGCATGTGGCTGCCCAGATAGAGACTACATTTCCCACCCTCCATGCAACTAGGTAAGGCCACAAGACTAAATTCTGGCCAATGGAATGTCAGCAGGAGCGATACATGCAAGTTCTAGGAATTGCTTGCCCTCTACATGCTTATCCCCCTTCCCATGGACTGGAATGTGACCTTGCAGATAGAGGGCAAGCCCCAAAGTAACGGTGAAACAAAGAGGTTATCTGGGTTCCTGGGCTACCTTTTGGAGCAGACCTTTCTTATACCACTGGATGGCCTATGGGCTTGATTTAACATAAAATGTTTATTTATTTATTCATGAGTATATCAAGACTAACCAAGAAATATACATATGTTTTATTTATTTTTGTTTTTTTTTAAGAGATCAGGGTCTTGCTGTATTGCCCAGGCTGGCCTCAAACTCCTGGGTTCAAGCAATCCTCCCACCTCAGCCTCCCAAGTGGCTGGGACTATAGGTGCATGACACTGTGCCCAACTGAGCTAGACTTTGTGCATTAAAACCTGCATCTTGTTTAGGCCACTGTTGCTGGTCTTTTATAACGTTACCATATCCTAACTCATACCATGCTCTTTGCAGTACTTCACACAGAATAATAAGTGGGAAGCTAAGTGAAAATGTGATTATTTCCCTTTGTTTTGTTTTGTTTTTACTTTTACAGGAAAATATTCTCATTCATTTGGGTTTAAAAGAGAAAGGACGGTTCTGGCATTTTTTTCACTGAACTACATTTATTTTGGGGAAATATGATACACGATCACACTACTCTGTTCTTCTGATATCACCGAATAAGACTTTTGGAAGAATTATCTGGAATAGAAATCCAAATGTGGCATTAAAGGAAAGAACTTTTAAGTCATCAGGAAATCTTACAGAAACATACAGTTTGAATATATAGGGTGATATGGTCACATTTAACCTCTCTAGCTCCTTGTGCTACCCACCAACTGTACCACCACGTCCCAGGACTGCAAAGCAGAGCAAACAACGTACCTCCAAATCTCCTGAGATATTGGCACCAGCAAGAATCCCAGTAGCTGCTGGGAAAAAAATGGCAAAGACAGAGAAGAAGCCTTCACCCTTTGTGAAGCGTGGCCCAAAGTTTTCTGCAAATATTGATGCTGCAACATAAATTATAAGAAAGTTATCATGTAGACATTTTTCACAGTGTAGGAGATTAAGTCACGGTCGGCTTCCCTAGCCCTAAATGCAAATACATTCCTATGTTCTAATTTTTTTTTTTTTTTTTTTGAGACAGAGTCTCACTCTGTTGCCCAGGCTGGAGTGCAATGGCGTGATCTCAGCTCACTGTAACCTCCACTTCCCAGGTTCAAGCAACCAAGCGATTCTCCTGCCTCAGCCTCCCAAGTAGCTGAGATTACAGGCACCTGCCACACACCTGGCTAATTTTTTGTATTTTTAGTAGAGACGGGGTTTCACCATGTGGGCCAGGCTGGTCTCGAACTCCTGACCTCAGGGGATCCACCCGCCTCAGTCTCCCAAAGGGCTGGGATTACAGCCATGAGCCGCTGCACCTGGCCACATTCCTATATTCTAAATGGAATGAACTTCAATATGTGGTGTACTCCTGAGGAACTTTATGTTAATATTTGCCAAAAGTCAAAATATATATCGTAAGCTTTTAGATCTCTATGACATCGTTCTGAAAAATCAATTTTTGTGCCAACAGAGATCCAGGCTGTCTGACTTTTTTGCATCTAGAAAAAGTTGAAAGAGGAGGAGATGAAGAATTCTCTCACGACCACACTGGCATACCCACAAATGCACCACCACACACATACACACACACACAACTACATTCTCACACGCATAAATACCATAAACAATCAATACACTGGTTTTCGATGCCTTTTTTTTTTGTAGTTGAAGAACCTTGTGGGTGAGTCCACTTTACAATTTTGCTACTAATGTATGAATCTTTTTACTCTTTACTCCTGGGTAGTAGATCTTAGCTGCTTATACCAAATCCTCAGTATGGGAGAATATTATGATGAGGAGCTTTGTTAATAAAATAATACCATCCCACAGGTTGTCACCAAATTACTCAAATAAAAAGGAAACAACCTGGAAGAAAAACAGGAGGAAGAAAGAGAAAAGAAGAGGAAGAAAAATGTGAACAAAAGAATCTGGGATGGAAAAATAGGAAAAAAAGGCTTAAAGAAAAAAAAATATGGTAGGAGTGGGAAGGAGGGAAAATAATAGAAAGGAAAAGGATATTAACATGCAAAGTGAACCAGAAAGTCTTTATGAAGAAAAGGAGTCAGGAAGAAAGAGATATGTGATATCAAAAAGAAATAAATACTGACCACTGAGTAAATAATGAAGGGAAACATTTAAAGACTCAAAAGTGGATTCTTGAGCAAGCTAGAGGGAAAAGAAAGGCAAGAACGGATAGAAGGAGTAAAATAAGGAGAGAAAGAAGTCAGATTTCACGCTCTGTGATATTATCATAGGATGCTACACTGAGTAACTCCTGCAGTCTTTTCTGCCTGAAAGCCTGACAGTGATGCTTCACTAGGTAATGCTATGGGAAAGCAAGGTGCAAACAAGTCTAGCAGGGAGAAAGAAATGCCTATGTTTGACTTTAGTGCTCTGCAGTGGCTGAACAAACTGAGCTGTGTCTCTGTTTCTGCTATTTGACAGCAACAACAAAAGGTTTACAAAGCACTTTTGCATTGCAAAGCACATTTTGAGAAACTGTCTTATTTGTTTCTCAAAATTCTGTCAGGAAGTTCTCATTATTGTCCACGTTTTGGCAGGAAAATCTGAGACCCAGTCACATTAGGTGTTCTGTCCAGCTGTTAAGTGGCAGAGTTGAGACCCAACCTTGGGTCTCCTGAATCCAACACCAGGCTCTTTCCTGGAGAAATTTACTATCCATTTTATCACTAGTGAAACTCATATATTTTCTGGTTCTAAAACCTATGGTGTGCCCAGATTTGCTGGTGAGGTACTGGGTTTCAGAAGAGAATGATAGTTTTTGCCTCTATTATGCTTCCCCAATGCACTTCCCATTTCTTTTGAGCTTCCGCATCCACAGGTAACTTGAAAGGGGAGCCAGGCATTCTGATGGCTGGGGTTGGGGTGATGGGGATGGTGACGAGGAGGGCAATGGAGAAGTATTCAGTGAAAAGCAACCAATTTATTCCATGTACCTTGGTAATTAAAGAAACCTCTGGACTTTTTCTCATTGTTGGATGGAATGACAGTTCCAATGAAGAAGTTTGCAATAGCAATGAGAAGAATGACCAGAAGAATCACTTGGGCCTGGAATGGCAAGGTAAAAGGAAACCAAATTAGATTTATTTAACAACTTTTTACACAATTGTAAAAGTTAGAAGTGTCCACTGCAGAAAGACTCCATCTGATTATTTCAGTTAAATCTCTGCTACCCAGAGTAGGTAATAAGTGCATCCTTATTAGAATGGCATGTAAACAGGCCTTATTCTACTTGGATGCATATACCACATTTTTAATGGAGCACGTGTTTGGGCACTTCAAGGTGACATTTCTGTAACACTCTAAGTAGCAGGCGGGTAACTTCCACCATTGTCCCAGGAATGTAAATGAAGCCAAAAGTTTTAACACTGATAGACTTGAGGGGGTTTTGTTTGTTTTCGGCAGAGCACTTATCGGTTGTTTCTGTTCCCAGTGCTAACTGCAGGAGTTCGAGAATGCAGAATGATGAACAGAATTCCTGTGATGCCCAGTGCACTTGACGTCAGGCTACCACTGTGTGCTCAGCACAAGCAGTCTGCAAGGTTGACTGGCCAGATGGTCCTTCCTTCAGCCCCTCCAATGCTGCAAGGTGTTTATGGCTTGGTGTTGCCATATGCTGTTTCCTTTACCTGGAAAGCACTTCACTCTACTCCTTGCATAGCTATTTCCTTCTTTTCATCCTTTAAGTCTTAGTTACCTCCTCAGAGAGGACTTTCTTGACAATTTAATCTTTTATGTTTTATTATTTTATTTTGTTTTGTTTTCCCGAGATGGAGTCTCACTCTGTCGCCCAGGCTGGAGTGCAATGGCGTGATCTGGGCTCACTGCAACCTCCACCTCCTGGGTTCAAGCAACCCTCCTGCCTCAGCCTCCCGAGTAGCTGGGATTACAGGCATATGCCACCCTGGCTAATATTGTATTTTTAGTAGAGACAGGGTTTCACCATGTTGGCCAGGCTAGTCTCGAACTCCTGAGCTTGTGATCTGTCCTCCTCAGCCTCCCAAAGTGCTGGGATTACAGGTGTGAGCCACCGTGCCCAGCCCATTTAAATGGGAGGCTTTGGCTGTCTTTCCACGTCTCATGACCGCTTGAGATCCAGTTACTTCCTCCACAGGCATGTAGGAATACTTTCCATTGCACCGGTCACTTGAGGGAATTACAAAGGAGGCAAAAGAAATGTTTCCCATCATTCAAAAATTTGCTATCCATTTTATCACTGGTTAAACTCAGAGATTTTCTGGTTCTGAAGCCCATGATGTACCCAAATTTGCTGGTGAAGTACTGGGTTTCAGAAGAGAATGATAGTTTTTGCCTCTTATGTAGGTGCCTCCCACCTGTATAAGTCAATAGAAACATTCCTACATGGCATTTATTTATAGATTATGCATTCACACATTCAACAAAACTTCAGTAAGTGCCTACCACGTGTTGAACATTCTTCTAGGCACTGATACTCACCTGTGACCAAAACAGGCCTAATCCTTACGTATGGTCTACAAAGAGATCAATAATAAGCAAGCAAATAAAGAAATAAATATAAAAAGGGAATTCGTGAAAATTAGTATCAACAGGACACTGTGATTGAAAAAACATAGGAGAAAAAACATAGGAGAACCCTACTTTAGATAACTTTATTCCCTGAGCGAGGCAATGAAGTTTAGTAGCAGTAGAGGGTAGCATTTAAAGCTCCAGCTCTGTAGTTAGAGTGCCTGAATTTGAAACCAGTTTATATCTCTGTGGCCTTCAGTAAATTGTGTAACCTCTCGGTGCTTCAGTGTCTTTATCTTTTACAAGTTTCTTTGGCAAGCTTCCAACACACTTGCCATTTCTCTTGGGCTTTTGCACCCACAGGCAGCTTGAAAGAGGAACCAGGGTTTGTGATTGAAAGACCCAGGCTTCCAACGTGCACCGCTGCTATGATCATAAGGGGTCTGTGCATAAGGCAGCCGCTTTGGTGAAAGCACAGAGAGACAAAATACAGCAGTCACGTGACTCATGAGCCCTGAGTCATGACTGCCTGGGCTTCGTGTTTGCAGGCTTGGTGTTCCACCTAGCACTTGCCTGCTCATTTCACCACAGCAGGTAATAACAGCAATTCTTTTTGAATATGGAGTTCCTTCTACTCCTGTAATCTATTCAGGACCTGACTAACCACTGTTGATAATATCATTTTTGAGAAATTTACCTTTGCCTCCCATTCCATTCCAGCTACTGAAATTCCTAGAAGAATCACCACTGTGATGGAGCCTATAATCCGGATGTCGTTGGTTGGATCCACCATCATCGAATCACTCTCCTGGGGAAACAAATTTGTAAGTGCTTAGAGATACAGCTCTTTGCATGTGAGTCTTATTGCAATGTTTAACTGTAAAAAGAGTTACTATACAATTACACCTGGGGCCATATAGGATAATAGAAAAATGGAGTATTCATAAATATATGAAGATAAAAATACCTAACTTTTTTTTTCTGTGATAATAGGCCTTTGATAGTCAAGGTTAGGAGTTAGACATTTTAGAATTCATTCTAGCTTTTGAAGCCGTTGTAGTACTAAGCAAAAATATGTATACACATACATACTGTGTTTTATTTCAGAAGAATGACTAGTTATTTCTGTGTGTCAAGGGGAATCCTAGCAGAATAAAAATGAATGGTTTACAGTGTAAATACTGAAAGTTAAGTGGCGTCCTATTTAAGAACAGATGACACAAACCTGATAATGCATCTCTTGAAGGTAATATACCTTATGAACTGTAAGCTTATTTATTTATCTAATTTTTAACTAGAGGTACTTTTTCCAATTGAATTCACTGAATGCTACCATTACTATGAGAAAAGGACTAGAAATTAGTTGATATATCAGCTAATGAATGTGCTTGCACATACAACATCCTCCACTGGGCACCTAAACTAGGAAATGGCTAGTTTTCTGGAGTGAGTTATTTTAATTTTTCAACTTTCTTTCCTTCTGGAAATCTATAACCATCATCATAGTACTACTGTTGACAGCAATATCCATTATTTATCTGATGTTTCCTATTTTACATAGTATTTCATGTACATTATTTCATTTGATCTGTGCCACACTTCTGTGAAATACATACAACAGTATTATTACACCATGTTATAGATTTGGAAAACAAAGTCTGGAAGAATAGAGGAACTAATCCAAACCTTCTTGGCTGGTAAACGCGAGAACCTAGACTCAAAGCCAGATCTTCTGAGGCCAAGCCCAGGCTCCTTCCACTATATTTATCTTTTTTCCTCTCATTTAGCTGTAATGATATCCCCTAGTGCCCTGAGAAGGCAAACTAAACTAAATTGTGCTGCTTGGCAGAAAAAAAGAAAAACTTTTAATTACCTTAAGAAGATCTACTACAGTCTCAGCAAATCCCACCACATACATAGCAACAGCCACTGCATTAGCAAAAGCAAAGATCAGGCCTATTGACCCACCGAACTCGGGCCCTAAACTTCTGGAAATAAGATAGTAGGCCCCACCTGAAACAAGAAATGAACATACTTTACATTGAGGAATTGCTAGTTTATATGACCAAATGACTGTGACTATCTGAGAACATTTATAGTGTGAATTATTTCAATATTAATATTACAACTTCCTAATAATTTTAGGAATCCTGTGTTACCCAGTGAATAACATAGCCCTTCTTGGTATTCTGTACTTAATCTACAATAGAGGTATCCTGACTTAATGAAGCCCAATCTATTAAAACCTAAATGCAAAAAAGCTACAAATAAGAACATAGCAAACTTTACCAAGAAATGTGTTGACTTTATAAAAATATCATTAGAGTATTCAAATTAATAATGCAACTGAAGTAAAATTATATATAAAAAATTTCCAGGAGTAGGAAAGTCTAGGTAGAAAATGGAGTAGGTGAAGTTTATCTTTGTTATTCTAACTTCCTTTCTGTTGTGTATACATGTACTATATATATACATACATATATAGATATTTGTACATATATACAATTTCCTGATATATATGTACTGCATAAAACAAGATATCTGTATTATCCATTCTATAAATCAAACTTGCTTTTCTATGTTTTTAGTGAAAGAAGGCATGATGTATATATATATAAACATATATATACAAAACATATATAGGTACATATGTAAAATTTTCTGATATATATGTGCTACATAAAACAAGATATCTATAAAGTGTGATATATTATTCATTCTATAAATCAAGCTTGGTTTTCTATGTTTTTAGCTCAAGAAGGCATGATTATTGCTAAATACCCATATATGTATGGGTGTGGCCAGTAGGTCCCTTGCCTGTTGGCCACTGAGAGCACGATGTTTGGGAGTGGCAAGTGGGAAGAAAAGTGGGGAGGGTCTGGAACAATTACTTCTCCCTTGGACATTGAAAAAGTAGTTCTATTAAATATATATAGTTGCATACTTCGGTGCACATGAAGCATTGAACTCGATTGCTCAACTGCCTAGAGGGGTACCTAGGGCAGCTTATTGAAGGTGAAAAGGACTAAATGTTAGGAGGTCTGATTATCACAGACCATAGTAAGATTGACTTCCTATATAGAGGTGGCCTTGGAGGTGGGCAGAGTTGGCACACGAATGACAAACAAACACACCTAAAAACAAAACAAAATTACTTTTTGCTGAGAAGAAATTTGTTTCACTATAGTAACTCTTTTGGGCTCAGGAGTCAAAGTCCTCTCTAAAAATGTCGCATATTGTCTGGGTGGAGCAAATCCCCATTATTTCCTTAATACAGATTACCTGAAACAAATGAGCTAGCCAGTTACCTAGGTGGACTGGGTCAACATGAAAGACAGGCAGAAGATGAGAGTGGACGTGTGTCGTGGGCAGGATGGTGTTTTAGAAGGCCCTGAGTAGGAAGACCTGGATAAGGTACCCAAGTTGAGAACCAGAGAAACCAAAGGGGAAAGGGGGGGCGAACAAAGGAAGACAGAAGAACAACGATACATTTCATCCATTTCACTTTCTGCCTAGGCCTGCCTACTCCTAGATTATTTGAAAGTAACTCTTTGCTTATTTATTTACTTATCCCCTTTTAATGATCTTCCCTTGCCTGTTGGCCATTGGGGGCACAGTGTTTGGGGTGAGCCCCGAGGCCTGGGTGCAGGGGTGGTTTACTGAGTGAGAACCATCAGCAATGCCAACTGGGGCACTGAAGAAGACCCATGCTGAGGGGACCTGTGAGAGAGCAAGTGGGTCTCATCCAAGGTACAAAGAAACCATATATTTTGCTATAATATTCCTTACCTTCTTACTAGACACATAGTCACTCTCCACTTTATAAACATGTTTTGTTACAAAAAATGGGTGGTGTCAATGAAGATATTCTCATTTTAGTTGAGAAAAGTTTTGCTTTGCTGTTTAAATTTTTGGTTATTTTGTTTTGTTTTAGGATATTGGGGACTAATTAGCAATATGTTAATTTCACTTCCAATAGTAAACTAACTTCAGACATTACTAGTAACCAAGCCTCTAGTCATAAGTAAATTAATTGGCTTACCTCCTCTTACTACTCCATTCGTGCAAATAGCAGACATAGAAATACCTGTGAGTGTCGTCACTACCACACTCAGGCCAATGATGATGACTCCAAGACCTGCAAAATCCCCCAAGAGAGGTGTTTGGTTCCAGTATTGAGAGAAGTCACCAGTACTTCAGGAGGCAGCAGTCTGAATCTTGTCACAGAAAGATCCTTCTCCCTGTGAAAACCTGAAATGTTCTAAAAGATCCCATTTCATGAAGGTCTAGGAAGCACCTGAAATGTACTAAACTTTAAAATGGAAGCCAAATCTGGGAATCGTTTTCCAAGGAACATCAGCTAGAGGAGTGCAGACTAGCCTGAAAAAGAAAAAGTTTACCTAAGGAAGGTGCACATCTGTAAAGCACAACCTACAACGTGTCAGAGAGATCCATTAGAAAAGAGACCAGAGTAGACCTGGACTATTCTCATCGTACCTTAGGTTTTCTTTGGCATCCAGCTCCTCCAGATAGCCAAGCTTCAAGAACATTGGGCTACTTGCTTGTTCCCATCAAAAAGAAGTATAAAAAATTGTTTGCCTACCCGTAGCAAGTGATGAGGGCATTAGATATCTTAGAGATTTTACCTCCACGAACAAACCCGTTAGTTGCTATCGCAGAAGTTGACAACCCAGTAATAGAAGTTACCATGGTGGAAAGAAGAATTATGAGAACTCCAAGACCTGTTAGCAATGAAAGATAGAAGATATTGCATTTTACTTTTCTTCCTTGGATTCCCTATTGCTGCAAACCACACTGCCTTTAATTTAAGTTTTCAGGTCCATGCCTCGGGCTCCAATGGGGTTTCTTTGTGCTAAGGAGAAACTGGTTTGCCTGGCATAAAGACCAAGTCAGAGAACTTCTCATTATGATGAAGGATGGTTTCCAAAAGTAAACACAATCTAAAGTGCAGCCTTGGAAAGGAAAAGTTGACTTATGCTGGTGTCCTGGGGGAGAAACTATCCTGGCTGTGAAAAGAGAAAACATGACATTTGACCTTCTTTCTTGCTTGAAGGAACCGGAATGAGAAAGTTGGGGGTTTGACAAAGGTTAAATCCTTCCCCATTTTTCTTGCATCTCTTTGCCTGATGGGGGAAAAGAAACCAACTTGCATTACCTTTGAAAACACTCCAGAAAGGTCAGTGATGAACTATTAGAGCCTGTGTTGCCTTTACCTTACAAATGAGGGTGCGGGTCACAAGTTTAATTACCTCCTCTGACACATCCATTTGTGGCAATAGCAGAGGTGGATAAACCAGTGATACCAGTCACTGTCACGGCTAAGCCGATGATAATCACACCAAGACCTCAGTTGAAAGAGGAAAAATAAAGGGATTAAATAGTGGAAGAATTCATTGGATCATTTACATAAAAACCAACAAGTCTGGGGTAAACATCAAAGGACCACATTTCAGTTTAACAAGTTGGCCAGAAAATCACCATGGAGTAAATGCTTAGCTTTGAAGTTTTCTGCTTGTAGTAGCTCTGGTTCCAAGAAACTCAAGAGCTAAAATGTGCAGAACTAAGTTGTACAAAACAAAACCACTAGGGCTGGTCAAAATTTAATGTGCACCCCATCTTCTTATTATTATTTTTAGAGACAGTCTTGCTATTTTTTCCAGGCTGGTCTCAAACTCCTGGCCTCAAGTCATCCTCCTACCTCAGCCTCCCAAGTAACTGGGACTACAGGCTTACACTATTACACCTGAGAGAATTCCATCTTTGGAGAAGTTCTAGACACCTATAACATAATAATTGGCCTACAATTCCAAGCTGTCAAGGTAACTGAGATTAAATGTTCACCCTTCCAGGCTGCTATCTTTTTACATACATTTGGTCACATAGGGGTGGGGAACTACAGACAGTATAGCAAATTATTCACCTGGCAGATGGGTACAGTGGAAAGAATGAAACTAAATTTCATTAACTTATTGACGGTGTGAATTCTGGAAAGTTACCTGTTATTATAAGTCACTTTAAATAAATAAATAACTGAGCTAAGAAATAGCAATGAAATTAGAAAGAATGCATGTGTAAAGTGACTAGCATGGCACATGGAACACAGTACACACTCAATGATACTGCTTTTTGATCATATCCACAATAGTCATAATACTTACTGCTTTTTAAAAACCTACTCTATATCCAGCTATGTGGCAGGTAATGCAAGAAATACAAGGCACAAATAAAATGAAATCTGAAAAAGTGCCCCAAGGATTTTATGGTTCAGAGGGTTGACGATTATAAGGAGAGGGAGAAAGTGGTAGAGGCCAGAATTCAATGAAGGCATGACTGCTTTCAGCTTCAAGAAACACATAGCCAGGAGGCTATAGAAGGGTATCACAATATACCACTTTGGCATAAGGATTATTTGGACAACTGAAAAAAAGTAGATACAAAAAGCTCTCGATCCCCTTCCTATTTACCTAAAAACAGGACATAAATTTGTCCTCCCTCCCCTCTCTACCAGGAAGTGGTGTCTCTGATCACCAGAGACAATTTTGGATGCTTATCGGCCTGACAAAGGCACCACAGGCATCTACACAACAAGCTTTGCTGACTAGCTCTTAACTTCCATTCCTTTCCTTATATATTTATCTTGCCAGCATTCACCACCCTATGAATGAAAAGTCCTTTTCCTTTGTCTTGTCACCTCTCTACAATTTAATTGTTCTTTTGTTAAGATGATATGTAAGCCCATGTTCTAACCACCCCTTTCAGTCACTCATCACTGACTGGTCCCAAGTGTGTGTACCATGTACATGTTAACAAATTCTGTTTTTTTCTTATTGATCTGACTTTTGTCAGTCTATTTTATAGGCCCCCAGCCAATTAACCTAAGATGGGTAGAAGATAACCATTTTTCCTTCCCTACAATATCCTCTCTAATGGAGGCCGACCCAGAATTCAGGGAGAGGGCTGTGGAGTCACAGCCACTGAACTCACTCTGGCTCCATCCAGAATGCTCTGGTCTGGGCTTTTTGGTAAGTTCCGCTACGTAAAGTGACTGCTCCATAGTTGTTGTTGGCAGTCTCTCTTGTCCCAAGGATGGTTAGAAGGGTAGTTAGCCAAGAGAGGCTGTTATCTCTCTGGCGATGCCCGAAGAGAAGGGAGAGTGGAAAGAGGTTAAGGGCAGCAGTGGGAATGAGTCAAGGTATTAAAGGGTGGTTCTTTTGAAGCTCTTGGCCATACCCTGTCTCTAACAGGAGGCTCTAGGCTTTTTTGCAGGTTAAAGTGCAGTGGGAAGAGGCTAACTAAGCAGAGGCTGCAAACTTAGACCACATTGCTTTGGACCCTGTAGACTCTTAAAAGCTAGGGGTTGTAAAAAATAGTTGGACTAAATTCTTCCTATCTGTTGCAGGGATACTGTGGTGAGCAGCGCCTCTATATCACTATGTGGCTTCAGGTCCTTGTGCCACTAAAGGTGATTTGTTTTGCATTTGTTTTGCTCCTGACTTTGTTTTGAAGAGGCTTGATAGAAAATGTTTAGCATACCCCAGAAACTCTACAGGACCACATAATTTGCATCTCGTAACATTAAACCTACTCCAACCTTATTATTTCCTCACCATTATTTTCCTTTTGACTCTGATTTTTTTCAACAATTCTTAATTCATCCTTTTGCATTGTATATATTTCTGAAACCATTTGAAATCTTGGAACAAAGTTTTAATACTTTTGAACAGCAAGGGATTTGCTTCTCTCTCATAATCAAAAATAAAATCCCAGGGTAGAAGGCAGCTGGGAGCACATTCAGTTCGTTGTTTTCTGAAATTGTGGTTCTTGAACCACCTGCTTCAGGAAATGCCTGGGGTGCTTATTAAAAATGCTCAGACCTACTGAGTTTGGATCTTTAAAAGTAAATCCCAGGATTCTGAGGTTTCCTAACCTAACTTCCCAGATAATTCTTATGCATCCCTCAGTAAGACAACTGAGCTACCCTCAGCCTATTTAACTTGTGTCTGCCTGTTCAGAAAGGTACTTTAGCTTTATCTTCAAAGAATTCATTGGGTAGGAATTGACCTGCTCCTTAATATTTAGAAAAGAAAGGGAAACACTGAATATAAGTGACTTGCTTCACGTCATACCGGCTTTTCACACCCAACATCCTTGCTTGATGGTTAAATTTATTGGAAACCATCTTGCCCCAGCAAAGTCTCCAAGATAGAGAAGAACAACTAGACAGCATTATCAGCTCATTCCACCCTTTGCTTTTGGGAACAAGACAGCCAAAACTCATAGCCCAGAATGGTTACCAAAGGGCTGTAGCTACTGTTACTCCTGGCTCCAGATTCCTTCTGGCTCTATTCCCAGGGTCTGGGCTTGAAAACATATTTAGTTTTCTTCCTCAATCTACCCCCAAAGCAAGAACAAATAGATGTATTTGTTTCTTTTCTTTCCCGATAAGGAAAACCCAAATGGGACCCAGATGGTGACTTAACTCATTTAGTTTTAGGTTCATAGCAAAGGCCAGTAAAACTGAGTAAGGTTGACAATAAGTTTCTAGTACTCACTAAAGTCTATCTTCCGAGAATTAAAAAAAAGAAAAGAAAAACACAAACCTCCATTCAAAGGAAAACCCATTGAACACTTACTAGGTAGAATTTTAGTCTCTTCTAATATATAATTTCACTACTTCAATATAAAGATCTATATTAAAATTAATGTCTGATAGTATAATAAACTGTTTAGCAGAAGATAGGATTCTTCATTCTCTACGGTTTTGCAATAAACTCAAAACTGCGTTGACTGTGAAGAGTAATGTAAGATCTGATTAAAGTTCAGATTATTGCCCAAACATACGGATGTTAAATAAGTTGCATTAAAAAGAATTACTCTTGCCCTTGGCTACTCTCACACATCCAAACAAAGTAATGTTTCTTGATGATCTCAATAAGTTACTAAACTACCCTTAAAAACCTAATTTTGCATGAAACCCTGGAGCAAAACCTTGGCAATATTAAGATGCAGATTTTCCATGGAACGGCATATACTTATTTTGGACCCTGCGGCTGTGAGCATTCATTTGCTATGCTTCATAAAACCGGCAAGCAGCCCTCTGTCAGGAACCCAGCAGTTGCCAAACATGAAACATGGAAAAACTATGGGAACTGGCTCCAGTTTTTCAATTTACAGCTTAGCCCTTTCTTTTCTGAGTTAGTCTTCCGGTGATGCTGAATGTGTTTTGAAGAGCAAAGTCAATAAATAGTGACCAACTACCTTCCAAAATGTGAATTGAGATACCTTCTGGAGTGCTATCTGAAGGCACAATAGAACTTCCGTATTCTTGAGACTAAGTCTTCTCCAGAGAGTGAATTCATAATGTATTTCCCATATATGTAATAGAACATCATTAATTTTTATCTCATTAAATGGGGAACTTTAATAAAATTTAATTATATTTTCCATAAAAACTTTACTAATATAGTTTCAACAAAAAAAGATTTGCTAGAAGAAATAATATTTAAAATGGAGTGTAATATTTAAAACATTAAACAATCACTCAAAATAATGTCATTATTATCCATTTTTCATTTAGAAAAAATAACAGTAATATACATATTATCTTAGTCATTTCATTTTTCACTTTAAGCTCATATCTGGCAATACTCGATTAGCCTTTGTTTTCTGACTGCTGGTACCTGAAAGTAACACAATTATTTTCTTTGGAAAAAGTTCAACAATTCAGCATTTTTATTAGTCAGGTCACATTTTCTTTCACCAGTTTTCCCACAAGATATTTTTGTTCAGTGAAGTTTTACCAATCATCCCAAGAAGGAAACTCTGTAACAAATGAGAGGCAAATGTCAATATGTCCCCAAATACAAATGTTATTATCCAAAATTAACGTGCTATTATATGTCTGTACACCTAAAACTCTATCAAAAGATAGAGATATCTCCTTGAGCATTCGCCTGTTTGACAAGCTGGAAAATTCCAGTCTCACAGGAGTTAACTCTTCACCTTTGCTTTCTGACAAACATCGTCAAAGAAGCCAAGTAAAAGCAGCTCAACTGTAAATTATTTCTGTGACCTTCATCTCACATTCAGTACTAATGGTGAAAAAAGGTTGCTCATTGAATTTATAATTTATATCAAAATTATTTAGGAGGGGAAAAATGCTTACCAATTCCAGCTTCTCCGACAATCCAGGAGAGGCGAATGAAGAGCATGACTCCCCAGATGTTCAGCATGCATCTTACCTGTGGATAGAAGTGGTATTGAAAGGAGACAGGACAATGATAGTGGGACAAAACCCGGAGCTCTTCATAACGCTGTGCCCAGGCCTTGTTCACTCTTAATCCACTAGAACATTTAATGGATAGTTTTAATTTGTAAACAGAGGAGCTTTCTCACCAGCACACCTTTCACCCATCCAAACTTCACGACACCAGCTTGATTGTCTTCCTTATTTTCAGCTTGTTCATCTCCAGGTATCCCATCACCGTTAGCAACTCTGTCAGCTGAACTTGGGGTGACTGCCACATTCTGCATTTTATAGACAGCAAAAACACAGTAACTGGTCAACGAACAAAGGGATCCATAAAACTTTTCAAGGCAAATCAAAACAATTGAAATAAAACTTAAAATACCAAAAAATAAAAAATAAAAAGAAAAATAAACCCAAACTAAATATATTCTGAGCATTTTAATGAAACTTATATTTTTTGCCCTGGAAGCTGAAAGGTTCGTTTTGTGAGTCATCTTAAAGTGTTTTTTAGGGCTGCAGGGGTGGTGAAGGAAACCTGAGCTGTTCTTCACTAGCGAGAATATTCCCTCTGGTGAAAAGTCAGATTTGGATAAGTTTAGTACATAAGAAGAACAAAAGAGAGAAGGGCTACAAGGAATGGAGCGCCAGAGTAAATGAGGGTCTTTGGAAGTCATGTTACGACCAAAGAGAGAACCTTCCTGAGCTAAGCAGAGGATCTGCACTTCTGTCAGTAAAACTCCCTGTACTTCATTTTATTCATCTATCTATCTATCTATCTATCTATCTATCTATCTATCTATCTATCTATCATCTATCTATGTCTATCTATTATCTATCTATCATCTATCTATTATCTATCTATCGTCTATCTATCATCTATTATCTATCTATTATCTATCATCTATTATCTATCATCTATCTATCATCTATTATCTATCATCTATCTATTATCTATCATCTATCTATATCTATCTATCATCTATCTGTTATCTATCTATTATCTATTATCTATCTATCATCTATTATCTATCTATCAATCATCTATTATCTATCTATCCATCTATCTATCATCTATCTATTATCTGTCTATCTATCTATCTATCTATCTATCTATCTATCTATCTATCTATCTAATCTTTTTTTTTTTGAGACAGAGTCTTGCTCTGTTGCCTGGGCTGGAGTGCAGTGGCCAGATCTCAGCTCACTGCAAGCTCTGCCTCCCAGGTTTAGGCCATTCTCCTGCCTCTGTCTCCCGAATAGCTGGGACTACAGGCGCCCGCCACCTTGCCCGGCTAGTTTTTTGTATTTTTTAGTAGAGACGGGGTTTCACCTTGTTAGCCAGGATGGTCTCCATCTCCTGACCTCGTGATCTGCCTGTCTCAGCCTCCCAAAGTGCTGGGATTACAGGCTTGAGCCACCGCTCCCGGCCTATCTTTTTTTTTTTTGAGACAGAGTCTTGCTCTGTCACCCAGGCTGGAGTGCAGTGGCACAATCTTGGCTCACTGCAACCTGTGCCTCCCGGGTTAAGGCAATTCTTGTGCCTCAGCCTCCTGAGTAGCTGAGATTACAGGCATGCACCACCACACCCAGCTAATCTTTTGTATTTTTAGTAGAGACAGGGTTTTGCCATGTTGCCCATGGCTGGTCTCCAACTCCTGAACTCAGGCAATCCACCTGCTTCAGCCTCCCAAAGTGCTAGGATTAGAGGTGTGAGCCACCGTGCCTATCCCATTTTATTCATTTTAAATCATGATAATAAAACTTCTATACACACCTCAGAGGATCTTTAAGAGAATTCAGTGAAAGACACATAGACCTGTTTTCTTTCTTTCCTTTCTTCTTTTCTCTTTTCTTCTTTCTTTCTTTCCTTCTCCTTCCTTCCTTCCTTCCTTCCTTCCTTCCTTCCTTCCTTCCTTCCTTTCTTCCTTCCTTCCTTTCTCTTTCTTTCTTTCTTTCTTTCTTTCTTTCTTTCTTTCTTTCTTTCTTTCTCTTTCCTTTCTTTCTCTCTCTCTCTCTTTCCCCTCCCTCCTTCCCTCCCTCCCTCCCTCCCTCCCTTGCTCACTTCCTTCCTTCCTTCCTTCCTTCCTTCCTTCCTTCCTTCCTTCCTTCCTTTCTTCCTTCCTTCCTTCCTCTTTCTTTCTCTCTCTTTGACAGAGTCTTGCTCTGTTGCCCAGGCTGGAGTGCAGTGGCATGAATTTGGCTCACTGCAACCTCCACATCCCAGATTCAAGTGATACTCCTGCCTCAACCTCCAGAGTAGCTGGGACTACAGGTGCGCACCACCACACCCAGGTAATTTTTGTATTTTTAGTAGAGACAGGGCTTCACCATGTTGGCCAGAATGGTCTTGATCTCTTGAGCCTCGGCCTTCCAAAGTGCTGAGATTACAGACATGAGCCACCACACCCGGCCAACATGTTTTCTAAGAAAACAAAACAAAAAAGTTTAAAGTATTCCACAAAAGTTTAAATGCACTGGATGACGACAAGAATGTTATCCTGTAGAAGTTTCTTTGAGATTCACTTATGCCTTTGCCTGAGAATTGTTGAATGTGCTAGTACCTTGTGGAAGATAAGAATTTTCATAACTGATTACCAGTTGAGTAGAAATAAGAAGTAGGTAGTATAAATAAGGGTTTAAACTTTTAAAAGGTTTTTTCCTGTGACCTGACTTTGAAAAAGACTTCCATTCTCATGAAGATAGTATCTGAGTTCAAGAGGGGAGGAAACAGCTCCTTTTCTGTAAAATTGAGAATAGTTCTCTATCTCTAATTTCTCTTTAAGATATGGGTTTGAATAATTTCAGATGCACCTACTTAATTTAGCTTGTCTGGCTTTTACCTAGCCCTTTGTGTAGACTGTACTTCTTTGAGCTCTGAAAAAGGTTTTCTTTTCTAGGAAATATTTTGAAACCACTAGGGAAGTCTCTTAGATTGAGCCCTCAATTACCACAATTATAGAATGACTGTATCTTATTTAAGTGGTCTAAACTGGTTTAAGCCTGGGATGATATGTTCTGATATCGCTAGTTAAGAAGTCTTAGATAAAGCTATTTTTTTCTTCCTCTAAAATGGGACTGGTGTGAAATAAACATCCGTATTTATTATCAAAGGTTCATTTTAGGATGATTGAAGCTCTTGGCCTTGCCATATTCAAAGGCTCTTGCTTTTTTGGGCTAAAATATAGCTTACCCATGGTAAACTGCCCTCATTTGGGCTATATACTCCAAGTGACTTTGACTTCCTGTCTTCTTCTTCCAGCCTGTTCTTCTCCTTGTCTATTTATTTATTTATTTTTCCTTCCCAAGTAAGTACATTTTCTTTGTCTTTGTAAGGATTTCTTCTCAAACTTTCTTCTTCTGTGAGACCTTGTTCATGATACTATTGTGACACTTGAATAACCAACATAATACAGTGTCTTAAGAGTCATTGTGTGACAAGTGAATCAGAAAGATTCAGCACTTAATTACCATTATTATAGGATGATTCTAAGTTGTGGGCTACTTTTTCTCAGTACCAACCAAAGGCTTGGCATATAGCAGGCCATCAATAAACAGTGCTGAATCAGCCAGGCACAGTGGCTCAGACCTGTAATCCCAGCACTTTGGAAGGCTGAGGCAGGAGGATTGCTTGAGCCCAGAAGTTCGAGACCAGCCTAGGCAACATGGCGAAACCCTGTCTCTACAGAAAATAGAAAAAATTAGCTGCATATGGTGGCATGCACCTCTAGTCCCAGCTACTTGGGAGGCTGAGGTGGGAAGATCCCTTGAGCTGGAGAGGTCAAGGTCAAGGCTGCAGTGAACCACAAATGTGCTACTGCATTCCAGCCTGGGTGACAGAGTGAGACCCTATCTCAAGCAAACAAACAAAAACAACAATAACAAAACAATGTGAATTCATGAGGTGGACTTGAAAGTTCGTGATCTCTACCACTTAAGAGCAGATACCCTAGTTTCTTATCCATTCTTGCCTCCTACTTCTTTTATCTTCCATGTCTATGGGATAGCTCATTTCTTATTGCTTCTTCTGGGTGGGTCACATTTAAAAGGGAAGAAGAAGAGAATGAATCCTAAGACAGATTATTTTATTATTTTCTGACAGTATTGGGAAAAAATGGAATAACAGAAGAGATTGAAGTTAATAATTAAAATTTAGTTTTTAATTACCTGAAGAATATGTTAATCTTAGACATCCTCAGTCCTTATTTGCACAAATAATTGAAAGCTAACATAATATATTTACACCAGCGTAAGAATAAAGACAGTCCAAAAAATTGAGGCTAACTGAGTGGGGCAGAAAACTGGTTATCTATACCAGCTACAAATGCAAACCAAGTATGTAATTCAAAATTTTCTACTTTTTAAAAAACAAAAAGAAATTGGTGCAATAAATTGGGTTTAGATATGGACCCTTACATTTTAATGTTATATTTAATCTTTGGAGAATATCATATTTCTAATATTTGCAATATAAGTATTTGTTAGCAATAGTTGCACCCCAACTTTCTGGGAACTGAATCACAGGAGTGTTTTAGTAATGTATTTTACTTAATGGAATATCTATAAAATATTATTTCAATATATAATCAGTATAAAAATATTAGGAAATATTTTACATTCTGTTTGTAATACTAAGTCTTTGATATTCAGTGTGTATTTTCCACTGGCAGTACATCTCAATTTGGATTAGCCACGTTCCAAGTGCTCAATAGCCCCATGTGGTTAGTGGCTACCCTATTGGACAGCACAGGTCTATATAATGCAGTCAATTTCAGATGCATGAAACATTTGAGGCTGTTTTTCCAGTCCATTAAAAATTCTGTTTTTCTCTGAAAGAATTCTATACACATATGGCAGCTGAATAGGTCAAATGTAACTTTCATTCTTTCATTACTGAAATGTATAATCAGTGAGAGCAGGGAGTTGAGGAATGTGTTAAAATGTCCATGAATGTTGAAGGGATTATTTGGTTAGGAGATCCATTTATTTGGCTTGATTTGAGAAAAAACTTTTTAAAAAACTGTAAATATTGTAGTTAATCAAGATCCCATAGCCAGACCATCAGCAGTTACTCACTTCGGGAGAGGGCAGTTTTCATTGTGTAGATTAATTGGGGATCCCAAGAGACACAGCCTTAGTCGCTTGCCTTTTTTAAAGTTGGTCTTGGGAATAAAACCCATGTTTTCTGATTAAGCTTGAAGATTTGGTCTGGGAAATTGCTCTGCTACCTGATAAACTCCAATGGTGATTGTGACCCTTAGATATGAATTGATGAGAATAT